ACAACAGCAGCAGCAGCAACAACAACAACGTCAACAATCACAACGACATCGCCAAAGATAACGACAGAGACAGCCACAGGCACAGCAACAGCAACCGCAACAGCAACAGCAACAGCAACAGCAACAGCAACAGCAACAGAAGCAGCAATAGCAACAACAACAGCATCAGCGACAGCAAGCGCAGCAGCAACAACAACACCACCAACAACACCAGCAACAACAACAGCAACAATAATAACAACAACAACAACAGCAACAAGAGCAACAACAACAACTACTACAACTACAGGAACAGGGACAGGGACAAGGACAAGGACAAGGACAAGAACAAGAAAAATAACAGCAACAACACCAACACCAACAACAACGACGACGACGACGACGACGACAACGACCAACAACAACAACAACAACAACAACGACGGTCGAACGCTGCGTACACGCGCGCGTTGCACGTCTGTTATGCCTTCCATTTTGCCCAAATCTGACAGAGAACAGATGCATCTTGATACCGCTGCGTGGAAAACCCACACTGCTGCCAGCAAAAACGAACACTGGGGCCTTCATGGTTTGGGCAACAACTCACAGTTATCTTGTTAACTTGCGTTCTGTGTTCTAAAGTGGTGGGTGGGCTGGTAGTCACACACTCTCGGGACCATGAGTTCATTGGGTTTTCATATTGCCCGTAACGCTAACGATATATAACGGAGGGCCTCATAATGATCAAAGGGGCAAAACAACTGGCAACAGGCATTTGCTTGTGGTATAGCTATCTGATCATTGGCTCAAGCCAAACAGCCGCTGAAAAAACACACCTTGGAAAATCCAGCATCAGCCGGGTGGCAGCCCAGCGCGCCAACACGTGCACACGTTCAAGGCCCGGAAAACGTAGCAAAACGCATTTGTGTGCTAGGTTCAAAAGATTAGGAGTGTTTGCACGGGCACATATGAAGCGTCATGTGGCCTGGGGTGAAACGCATCACGCCTGCAAGCAGTTTTAACACACGAAAGAATTGGAGGGTGTCAGGGTATCTCTGGTTTGACGACATATTGCTTGCTTGAATATCTAGGCTGGCAAAAAGAAACAAACTCCGGTGGGCTGTTTCATGTGCCATGTTCAAAAGATGAGAAGTGCTTGCGCTTACAGCGTTGTCTCCTCAAGCCGACCATGAAACGGGCAAATATGAAGCGTCGCGTGGCCTTCAGTGCAATGTCCCATGCCTGCCATCAAAGTTAACACACAAAACGAGTGGACGGTGTCAGGAAACGTCTGGTTTGAAGCGCATGTTGCTTCCCCGAAAAGCCTGCAAAGCCAAAAAAAGCCAAACTCTGGTGGGGAAACATGTCATGGGCGTGCGCTGACCATCCCACCCCACCCCCCCCTCGACGACGTTGGGCGTGTCCAGGCGTACCTTGCCGGCGCGCGTGAACGCGGCGTTGGAGGGAACAACGACAAGAACAAGAACAAGCGCAAGAACAAGAAAAGAACAAGTACAACAACAGCAACAGCAACAAGAAACAGCAACAACAACAATCAGCAGGAATAACAACAGCAGCAACAAGAACAGCAACAACAGCAGCAACAACACCAACAGCAACAGCAGCAGCAACAGCGACAACAACAACATGAACAAACAAACAAACAAACCAACAAATTAACAAAACAACAAACAGGCGACCAGCAACACACACCAAGCAACACACAACAACCACAAATAACAAACCACAAACAACATTCACCAAACAACCAACAAGCAACAACCAACCATCAACAACCAACAACCAGTTACCAACGACCAACGACCAACGACTAACAACCAACAACCAAAAACCAACAGCCAGCGACCAGCAACCAGCAACCAGCAACCGACAGGCAACAACCAACAACCAACAACCAACAACCAACGACGAACGACCAACGACCCACGACCAACGACCAATGACCAACGACCGACGGCCAACAACCAGCAACCAGCAACCAGCAAGCAGCAACCAACAACCAACAACCAACAACCAAAAGCCAACAGCAGCCAACAGCCGACAGCCGACAGCCAACAACCAACAACCAACAACCAACAACCAACAGCCAAGAACCAACAACAACAAGAACAACAACAACATCGACAAGAACAAGAACAAGAACAAGAACGAGAACGAGAACAAACACAACACCACCAACAACAACAGAACAGCAAACAACAAACAACAAACAACAAACAACGAACACAGCAGCAGCAGCAACAGCAACAGCAATCGCAACTGCAACTGCAACAGCGACAGCGCAGCAGAACAAGAACAAGAACAAGAACAAGATCAAGAAGAACAAGAAGAACAACAACAACAACGCCAACAACGGCAACAACAGCAACAACAACAACAACACCAACACCACCACCAACAACAAGAGCAACAAGAACAATAACAACGACAGCGACAGCAACAGCAACAGCAACAGCAACAGAAACAGCAGCAACCGCAACAACCTCAACAAGCGCAACAACCGCAACAACCGCAACAACCGCAACAACCACAACATCATCATCATCATCAACAACAACAACAACGCCAGCAATCTTTACGACATCGTCAACGACAACGACAAAGACTGCCACAGCCACAGCGACAGCAACCGGGACCGCAACAGCAACAGCGACAGAAGCAGCAACAGCAACCGCAACAGTAGCAACAACAACAGCGTCAGCAACAGCAAGAGCAGCAGCAACAACAACACCAACAACAATACCAGCAGCAGCAGCAACACCAACCACAACAACAGCGGCGGCGGCAGCAGCAGCAGCAACAACAACAGCGCCAGCAGCAGCAGCAACAATAACATCAACCACGACAACAAACAACGTCAACAGCGCCAAGGGCGCCAACAACAACCACAACAAGAAACAGCGCCAACAGCGCCAACCATTCCGGACCCTAGCTTGCAAACCCGGACTACTTGGACAGGCATATTGCTGTGACAGTTTGTCAAGTTTGTTTGCATATTTGGGGAATGAGCGAAGATCCCGGGAAGAAGACAACTCACAAACAACAGCTTGCTCAGACCCTTGCACCCGCTTGCGCCTGAACTCGGGATCGCTCAATGACTCGATGTCTATTATGTATCACAAACACCGGCAAACCAAATAGGATCTTATTACGGCTATGCTGCCAGGCATACTCAAGGTGCAGAAAGGAACCGCTGGGACCGCCGGCTTTCCAAGGCAGCAGCAAGAAGGGCTTGTTCCATTGACACCAGCAGCTGGCTTTCGAGCTAAGGACAACGCAAACAAAGCAGATGAGCGTGCGGAAGCTGATGCCGCGGACAGCAAGGTCCTGGTGCCGCAAGGGACAGGCACGACCTTTGAGGGACAAGAGGGCAATGCCTGGAATAACATGCGATGATGGCTCGAAGGATGGCCTTCCACATCATGTTCAGATTTTTCTCACGCACCACCTGGGATTGCCCGCAGGTGGCTACCCACCTGCAGACGGCTGTGAACCGAAATGGCCAGCGAGGAGCGCAAGGCTTAATCGTTCAACTGGGAAGCAGGGGCTTGCAGCCGGAGAGAGAACTGCAAGATGAGTGAAATCGCCGATCATCTTTCAATGCCCGCCATGCATCCTGGCTTCACCGAGGCAAGGCAGATTGGCCCTTCGACTGGCCAAAGGACTGCTGGGAACCAATCTCGACTGTTGAATGCCCGGCCGGTGGCCTCAAGCTCTAACTTGTTTTTGCCCTTGGCACTCTGTCTAATATGCAACATAAGCCATGAGGCCTGGCTTCAGCACTTGATGGCTGCAAGTTTCTTTTCCCCCTAACACCAGAGGCTTTGCGGCCAATGCCTTGCGCTTCAGGAGGTCATCACGGCCGTGGCCATGCCTGCAGCTTTGCAGCTGCCCGTGCGGCCAGTGCCACACTGGCGAGGAGGCAGCAAGAACCACAGCATCAGCCGCCTGGCGAGGGCGAGGCTGTGCCTTAGATGTTGGCGCGTCTTCCTTTAGAACCCGTAAAGTTGCAATTTGGCTTCATCTTTGAGTTCCCGGTTGGTTTGGTTGCAAGTAATTAATTGGTTGGTTGATTGGTTGGTTGGTAGGTTCCATGAGCCTTCTGATCCTGCCAGTTGTTGAGATCCTGGCCAATACTTGATTCAAATCGGAAGCATCAAGAACCTCTTTCGTGCGCAGCGACTCGCTGGTTTTGAGCGTGCCACCCCAGTGGTTTTTCTCGGCAAAGACTTGAGCCAGAGCCCATGGAAACAATCATTTAGCCAGGAAGTCTTTAAAGCTTATCCTGAACCAAGCTCGTGGTCTGTAACTACAACCTGAAGCCCTAGACAACAAAACAAGGCTGAAGGCTTCAGAAGTGCGGCTTGCCGCTCAAACGCACACAAAAGCTCAAAAGGCAATTGTAGTAGGTGGATCTCCCGCTTTAGTGGGGATAGTAACCCTTGTACAACCCTTATGGCAACGTTAGTAGAACCAACAGTCAAAAGATTTTTGGGCGCTGCTCACTTGGTTTGGGGGGTCTCTCCACGTGATTGGTTTCCAGTTCTAGCGGTTCCCGAGCCCATGTGCTTCGCGCTTGAGGCAGCTCTGCCCCCTCCATCGGCTCTGCGGTGCGCAAGATAGGGGCAAAGCGGAATACGACCAGAGACGTGGGGCGATAGCAAGACCCGCTCAGCCCGGCCCTGGTTTGTGCGTGGCTTCGAAGGAAGGATTTCTTGATTCGCTCGAATCTGTTAACGACTTACACGCGACCAAGTCGCCGCTGTTTGATGGACGCGTTGATCTCTCGGGAGAAAAGCACCGGAGTGGTCATGTGTGTCATCATGACTGAACGTACAACAGACGAAGGATTGCAGAACAATTGCCACGCAGGTGTGCTCTACTCGTGGCATGATCATGTTTGGCGTCTCCAAATGTTGCCTTCCAAGATCAAGACTTGCCGTTTTTAAAGGCCCCAGTAGGTGAAACAACAGCAGCGCGGAATGTCGGTGCACAACCAGGAACGCTGCCAAAGCAGACGCGCGTCGAGAAGCTTTTGCAACAGTGGCAGCAGGCAAGGGATTGTTCATGCATCTTAAGCACAGACAGCCTGAGGCAACTACATGAGCATTTGATCAAAACATGCTGGTAGCTTATTGGTAATTTTTTGGGAGGACATGGGGCCCGCCGAATTTCCCGCACAAAGCCAGGGCCCAACCCAATTGTACCATTCCGTCTTGGGAGTATTTGGCAACTTTGTTCGGGGCTCACATAGCCTATGCTCGCAGTGCCAGGATGGTGGTGTGGACAAGGCCTTGGAGCAAATGGTGCGCGACAAACAGGAGGCTGGAGTAGCCTCTGATACCCAGGAAGGTTTTCCTGCTCCCACTCTCGGGGTTTCCGCTCTTGCAAAGCTCCTTTCTCTGGCCAAGAGCGGAAGCCCCGATCGCGAGGGGTGAGAATGCCGGGGTTCGGCCCAATGAGCCGAGATTCGCCTCCGCCAATCAAATGTGTGATGACTCGTGTGTATCACGCCGTGCCAGGCAGCGCTGGTTGCCCTCGACAAGGCGGAGCTGCTCAAGCAGTGCAAGAAGCGCAACCTCAAGCCATTTGTCAAGGAGGCGGAGGGTCAAAAGCGGTCAAGAGGGCACTTTGGCATTCAAAGCTTCGACGGGACGCATTGCCTCAAATGTCCTGCATTGACCCACCCACCCGCCCGCCCAGCCAGCAACCCACTCACCCACAGGTAGGATCCACTGGCAGTTCGATTCGCTCGCTGCTTGCGAGTGCGAAAGCGCAGGTCATGGTGGATCGGCTGCTGAAGGCAGAGCTGAGGGCGGGCCACTTTGCGCCCAAAAAGGTCGAGGAGGCGCTGGGGGGGCTTGCAAATGCGCGAAATGTTTACGCGTGGAGACTTCAGAAAGCTGAGTCTACTTATATGATTTGCCTCTTGAGTTGCTCATTCTCAATTTCATCCCTCTGTTTTTGAAAGATGGGTGTATTCGCACTATCCCTGTGTCATCTCCTTCCTCTTCGTCAGTGTCATCTTTTGCGTTGTGCACTCTACATCTGAATTTCTTTCTAATATATTCCAGCTTCTTCTTGTATCTTCTCCTCTTCTCCTCATCTCCTCATCTCTTCCGCCCTTTTCTTTCTCTTCTCTTACTCTTCTCTTATTGTCTCTTCCTCTTATTCGCTCTTCCCTCCCTCTTTCCTCCCTCTTCCCTCCCTTTTTCCTCCCTCTTCCCTCCCTCTTCCCTCCCTCTTCCCTCCTTTCCTCCTTCTTTCCTCCCTCTTGCCTCCCTCTTCCCTCCCTCGTCCCTCCCTCTTGCCTCCCTCTACTTCCTTTTCTCTGCTTGCATTCGCGCGGACAATATCTGTACGGACTGTACTTGCAGGGCTGTACTTGCACAGTGCACAAACCTACTTGCGTCGACTATACGTGCACAGACAAGTTTCACAGTAATTTGCATGACCGTCCATGCTTGATCCAATCAAGTTGGCTCGGGCTCTGGTGTGTGGGTTTTTTGTTGCCCGGGCCAAGTGTATAGCCCTGGGCTCTTTGGGAACTGTTTTCATTTGGCGAGTTCTTTGGGACTCGGTTTCAAGTTCTATTGACTGAAGCATATTTTTGTTTACTTCGGTTATTGATATTTCTGAACTGCCAAAATGCAGCGGCGCAGCATGCCGGGAGACTTCGCTTTCAAACACACAACCTTGTTCACAAGAACTATGTTATGCAGCACAGCAAGCGAAAGGCAAGCCCATCGGAAAATAGTGTCAAGCACAAAGCATCGCAGCTCAAATCCTGACTGAGCTACTGGGTACCCTTGAGCAGTGCCCCACTTGTTGCCCCAGAGCTCAAGCCCTTCAGGCATTGCGCGCAGAGAATATTTGAAGCGCCGATGTGTTTTTCTTGCTGACAGATTTGTCAGGAGAAGCCCGTCAACGGAGATCTGGTGGAGGCATTGCTGAGTAGCGAGGCACAGCGCAAGAAGGACGGGGTGCATGAACGAGGTATTTTAAAACCTGCAAATCTGGAAGGTTGATCCATTTTTATTTGCCCTCCTTTTGGTTGTTGCCCTTCTTCTGGAAGTTTGCTGAGGCAGTCACTACAGAGAAACCACTGTTCCTCACCAAGATTGGTGATGAATAGGTGTTTCGTAGTGTGACCATTATATCCATGCCAGGATGCAGAGTTGAAGAAGCAGCAGGATGAGGCAATCGGTCGCTCGAACTCGACTTCAAGCTAGTTGAGGTACGGTAGCTTGGAAGCTTGTCGCATAAGGTTCTGTGAAGTTAACAGGGATGGTCATCCACCTGGTTGCGAGGTGGTGAGGATCCTGAGCAACCGATATAGTTTATAATGCTTCTTTTCAACACGGAACCATGAACAATGCGATAATTATTATAAGGAGTTTCACCGTGGCTCACTTGGCTTGGATTCGCCACAGGCCGACAGCAGCAAGCGCAAAGAGCTGCGCGTGATGTCTGTGGAGGCCCTCAAGAAGGCGCGATTTCTCCTTGGGTTCCTATCACCGAGCTTTGAATGTCCAAAGCCTAAGCCATGTTGATTCCTGCATAATTTCTTTTGTCCCCACTTTTGGCGCACATCCACAACTTATGCTCAAGCTCTGATCAACACGACTGGCCCCTGTCGGATGATTGGCAGATGCCGCGGAGATTCCGGCACAGATGGCGAACCTATCTTGCAATGACAATTCCTTCAAACACATGGCAGGCTCTGATCAGCAAGAGCCTGGAAGCTTCTGGGAGGAAGGCATGGTGCGACGTGCAAGGCTGTTGGCTTTTGATTCTCAGTGGCGGTTCTGCAGGTATGGGGACCATAGGCAATATGAGGTCAATATTCACCGCCGTCTACTGTGACTTTCAGGAATACATGCAATCATCCGAGGGGAAATATTGACTGGCTCATATTTCAATATTTGAATGACATCGAACTCGGCAGGATGATATGGTGGAGATGCTTTTCCAGGCAGGGCTTTCTGCGCAAGCAGCCATGGACCTGGCATGCTTTGTAAGGCACTCTTGAATTGAGTGTTTCTCAAAGTTAGGGACGGCTCAAAATCGGTTCCATTTTGGCTTCCCTTTAGCACCATCCCATACAGACCCAATGAACTCTAGCTACGACAACCGTTTGCCTTCGTGTGAAGGCCTAATTTCAAAAATGGGACTAGCAAACTTGGCGCGAGTACATGGCAAGATGGAATGACGGAGAAGGTCTTGTACAATCAGCCCCACTCTCTTGAAAGCGGGAGCCCGAAGAACGAGAGCGTGGACCTGCAATCCCAAACATTTGAAGCCTGTCGTCTGCCGGGGGCCGTTCTGTCAGGCATGGAAGCAGGAACAAGCGCTGGCATCCAGGAAGGCAGAGCTGAAGGCTAGGATGGCATGGGGTCTCGGCCTTGATTCTGAGGCTTCAAGAGCAATAATATGACCTATTGCCTTTCTGGCAGTTTTCTGGACTCCGGCCAGGCTTTGAGCAAAGACGACTTGAAGATTCTGGCTGCCCGAAACGGCTCTACTGCCAGCGCCAAGGCCGGTGTACCAACCGAAACCTCCAGCTTGAGCAGATCTGCATGCATGCAGCACATGCGGCAGCTCTCAATTTCTTTCCCCGAGCGACCTGTGCAAGACCCCGCACTGTATATAGAAAACCGCAGGCCCCTCTGCGTGAATGCTGGTGCAGATCCGTTGGATTCAAAACTGTTGGGAGTGTGTCAAATCGGCAAAACCAGAACGATGTTGCCAACCTGCTGCAGACTGAGCGGGTTGTGCAGGAGGCCATGATTGAGGCGGTGCTCCAGCAAGAGGCCAAGCAGCGCCAGATGCAGAAGGACTACGATGCTAAGGCGAGATATGCGTCCATGCAACTTTCGCTCTCTCACACACACACACACACTTCTATTTGATTTTGACCAGATTTGGAGAGCCGCATCAAAGAACAAAAAACACCGAGTGTTGTTTGCATAGGGGCCGGGGGGGGTGGTTATTTTGGAAGGTGTTTGAAGACTTTTGTGCTTGACCGACCATCCCACAAAAAGTTTGCCCAAAGGCGTCAGGAGGTGGCCGAAGCCTCGCGCACCGCAGCCTTTGAAAGCCGAGCAGTGGTGGAAGAGACGCCTTTCAGAGCCATGGAAGCCGGTCCCATGTCGCGCACCTGCGGCCTCGGTGTCATGCCGGCACCTTGCAAGCCAGACTACGACCACTTCGGCACTTTGCAGCTGGAAGCAAAAACTGGGTTTTGAGCTGGCTGATGGGGATTCGGGATGGCAGTCAGTGGTAAGTCTTGGCAAAATTGATGTGTGAACCTCAACTTTAGGCTTGACATTTGATAGACGCGCTTCGAGCAACGCCGGCTGCTGCGGATGGTGTTGTTCCGCTAAACAAATGCCGGAATCCAAGTCCGGAGAGGCGGAGAACTGCAGAGGCACCGCGTTTAGGTGGGCTTGCGTAGGTGGTCCAGGGCTAGGGCGATCTCGTCACTCGATCTAACCACAGTCACACACACACACCCACTTGGAGAGGGGTCATTTTTCACAGGAGCGCAAGGAAGGCTAGTCTGGCCAAGCTCAAACTTGCAAGTTTCGGACACCAGTGATTTGAGTGACCATCCTAGGCAGCCACCGGACAAGCCGGAGGAGCCGCTGACCGAGGAGCAGCCGCCAGACCCAGAGCTATTCAACTTCCACAGCACTGCAGAGGTGCCGGAGCAGGAGCGGGTGGCTGAGAGGGCTTTCAGAGAGCCGGAGCTGCTTGCATGGTGCTGCGGGGTGTTTCTGATTCTTGATGGAAAGGTGGAATAAGGGGGTCGGCTTCAAAGTCTCATGAATGTGACTGGTAGGGTTGCAATGGCAGGAAGGCCGCACTCCGCGAGCATCCTACTTCGACTATGAAGTGTATTCGGAGTGTGACGCCAGAAGCCTCAGTCGAGGGTGAATGGAAATTAATACACGTATCAAGCAGCAAATGACGGAGGTTGAGAGGGTAATTGAAGCCTCACAAACAAAGGAACCATGGTTTGCTCGCCCAGTAAAATTGAGGGAGTACAGGCACGGTCATGCATCCTTTTCAGGCATGACAATCACTTGCAAGGAGTTCCATTGGGAATGATGATCACAACCCCGCAAGGGGTTTGCCCATGGCATATCTCGCTCTCAGGCCGCGCCCCTTGCACCAGGGCGGCTTTTGCATATGATGGGCGTTGACAACTTGAATAAGTATTTACGCACTGTGCAACGCGCTCCATCGAAGTTGAAGCGTCAAGTGAAGGCGAAGCGGGACGACTTTGAAGACCACGTTTCCCACTTCGATCAGAATTGATTGGTAGATCCGCTTTCCGCTCCTTGTACAGGGATGCGGATGGATGCGGCAACACGGAATTGAATGATTCTTCCTTAGCTTTCAAACCAAGGTCCAGTCAAATTGGACCAGAGTTTCAAAGTTTCCATGCGCAGTCGGCTCGACTGCCTAGAGCCAGCGTGCTGGGGTATTGAGAGAGTTGCACGGAGATCAAATGTTGCAGTGGCAGGCTTGGAATCGATGGACTATGGGGAAGTGCTTAACAAATGAAGCGAGGGTTGATTAAGAAGCTTCTTGCACAATGTGTTGACTTGTTGACCAGCATCGCTGCCGGGCATGATGTCCCACGGCTTACTTGCCGCTTCCGTGGCATGTGTGATCTTACAGCTTTTTGTTGTCAGTTTCAAGTTCGGCTTCGAAGCCAGCAACGTGTCACCTTCGGATGTTATGCAGAATCAGAATCATCAGGACTGAGCTTATGATGACGACAGACCGTTCATCGGGTCGCGAAAGGTAGGATTGAGGGATCGAAGGTGACACGCCAACACACAATTGAGTGTGGAGGCTTTGGCAACATTTTGCAACATTATGTAATTCAGTGCAGTTGGGTGGCACGATGGAGACAAGTTTGCTACACGCCTGGTCTCGGCGGAGCAGCCTCGGATCCAAAGTATCGGTTTCAGAACCAGACTCCTGATCGACTCGACTTGACTAGCAAAGCAATGGTACTGTATGGCTGATGGATGCTGATTTTGGAGATTTTGTGTTGCTTTTTAGACATTATATTCTTGGTGAGCAGAACGTCAAGAGTTTATTAGAAGCCAAGCAATTAAAGATTGAGCACAAAGCTGGAGTCTCCAACTCCAGCCTCTGCTCTCTTTGTCCCACCGTTTGACGAAGGTGGCGCTGCTTGGAAATGGGAAGCTTCGGAGTCGATTGTATGAGATCAAGAGCCAAGAACCTCATCGAATGATCCTTGCGAAGGGCAAGCCATGCCCTTCCTTTGGGGAGGGCGATTTGGCTGCCCTCAGCTTCTGCGCGGAATGTTGACACTTTCGCCCAGGGCTGAGTGAGAAAAAGAGGCAACATTTGAGCACCGATCGGCGGACATTGGAAGAGAAGCCTGCAGCAATATCAGCTGACGTAGAACAAACATACACAATTACTTGTAGTCTATTGCTAGTTTGGGGAGGACATGGGGCCTCAGATTTCTCACAACAACCAGGAGGCCCAACCCAATTCCCCATGGGAGACAAGGAATTAGTACTTCAGTAACTCTACAGCAGCTGCTGAGATGCTGCTTCAAAATGTTTGCGCCAGAGTGGCATCATACGTTCAGGGGAGGTGACCGTTTGGAACAACTGGCACGTTTGACAGTCAAGGTTTGCGTGGGACCCTTAGCAGCCATCAGCTATTTAAACAGGTACAGATCACAGGTGAGACCACATGTTCCCACACCCAACGGCCAATTCTGTGTAGAAGGCTCCCCTACGAGAGTTTGGAGCAGACATTCTGTTGGGTGGGAGAAAGCTGGATGATGGTGTTGTGACATTTGCTCTAGCGGCTCTCAAGTGAACCCCACATTGAGAGCCCGTAGCTGGCGCGGCGTGATTGATATACTACCATTGAAATATGAATCAAGGGAGTCAGCTATCAAAGAGGAACATCATTGAGCATGAGTCACAGCCCTTTTGTTCGCATCCTAGATGTTGGATTGATTTAGCTGGCTACCGCCCCTCATTAAAATGGCACACCGCAACAAGGGCTTGACTTTGTGAAAGATGCCGCATGCTAACGCACCGCATCAAGTGCTTTTCATTGCAGCCTGGGAGAGAGAGATTGAGCATTTGTGAAGGTCATCCTGGTACTTGTCAAGAAGCGAGAAGAGCTAGATGACAAGACCAACCATGAGCTCAAGGCACCAAAATCAAGCGTGGGTGCAAGCAGTCTTCATATCATAAATCGTTGAGGGAGACTCCCAACCACAAACAGCCACGGCTGCCCTTTTTGGTTCTGTACACGGTTGAGCCGGCCAGTCAGTCAGGCAGGCAATCAGGCAATCAGCCAGTCAGTGAGTCAGTCAGTGAGTCAGTGAGTCAGTGAGTCCATCAGTCAGTCAGGCAGTCAGTCAGTGAGTGAGTCTGCAGCAAGGAAAGCCGCCCATTTTCCCTTGTCCTCTCACACGCACCAAATGCAGGCGCCAACTCTTTGCCAAGCATTGCTCGCAGGAGATGTGCGCGAGCAGAGGTCTGAAGGCGGGGCTAAAGGCTGTCCAGTGGCGCATGGCGACGTTTCATTCCAGGGTTGTGGGATCAAGGGGTTTATCTCCTCTGTAATACAAGGGAATCTCCCCCACTACATGGGGGGTCAGCCTTTCAGCCCGCAGTCCTGTTTCATTCCGACCTGTGGGCTTTGATTTCTCGAAGCGTTTTGCCTGGAGCTCGGGTGCGGCTTAGGCAGGAAGCTGCAAGGAAGACCGCGTTGAAAGGCTCCTGGAGAACATGAGGACGACGCACGAGGCAGACAAGGCGCGCGTGTTTTTTTGCTTTTTCTCGCAACAAAAGGCTGTGCCATTCAGCAACTCACTTTCTGGAAGAACAACTGATGCAAGGAAAAGTGCAGGAGAGTTGCCTGTATGGCTTGTGCTCAACAGGGTGCTGTTTCCTGTTGCCGTTGCTTTTTCAGGATCCCGTGGGTCGTGAACAATTGACTTGTTCGATAGATGGCCAACCTGCAAGCAACAAACACTTGCTTCACCTGTCCAATCTCCTGCTGACTCACCGCTCACATTGTTGAGTCGAGACAGATCAAATTCAGCGGGCAATCATTGCTTGCCACATTGTCCGGACATAGCGGCTTATCCTGGCTATATGGATGTCAGCTGCTTGACATGTCCGTTCTGGAAGGATGTGTTGGAGCTGAGCATGGCGGAGCGTCGGCAAGAATTTCTTGCTATGGAGCCTCAGCTTTCGCTCGATTCGGCCACCTCCGCACACCAGAACACTTGCTCTACGCAAAAAAAGGTCTACAACATGAGGCCTTTCCGTCAGAAGCTGTTAGCTGAACAACCTTGAATGGTTGAAGGTAAACAACTTGTGGTGCCAGCCTTTCTGTGCTTGATGTTGGAACGATGCATTCGACCCCACAAACGTTTCCTAGCAAATCGGATTCTCGGGTGTCAGGACGAGACTCAGCTGGAGAAGCTTTGCACCGAGCACGGCGCTCAATGACTTTAGAGCTGCCTGTCAGATGTCCATTGAGGTTGTCTCAGGATCAACTTGAATAAGCGAAGCACCATTTCGGAGTGACCCAAAGCCCCCTTGCAGCAGTGCAGCTTGGTTATCATCCGGGCAGGAAGTCAGCCCACAAACTGATGCACGGTCCCCACCAAGCAAGTGCGCAAGTGCTGGAATGTCCTGAGGCTTAGCGTCGATCCCCTGGTGAAGGAGGCCCCCCACTGTGCGTGTTGGCATTGGTAGCGATTGGTCGACCTCTCTCGCGCATTCTGCACTTGAATTGAATTGGAGGCCACGTTCACATTGTAGGCTGTCCTGACATCTTGCTTTCACACCTGGCCATACGCGTCGGATGACACGCTGCAGACATTGCCTTTCAAAGAACGCTTCGGCCCCACCAGGTAATGGTGGAGCGGCTTCTTGCTGAGAGCTGAAGGCGACTTCAGGGGGGCAGTGCCTGAACAGTCCGGTTTCCGTTTGTTTGTTCTCAGGGATGCATTGGGGAAGTGCCAGAATCATCTCTTGCATGAAACGACGTGGTTGGTTTTGTAAAGCCGTGGAGCTCGAAAGTTCCTAAGGGTCAGGGCTTATCCTAAACAAGAGGGAACACGCCACAAAACAGCACCACGTCACCTTGCCGCCCTGAAGTAAAAAAAGAATTGCTCGGAGTCTGATTCACAAGTCGCAGGTATTCTGCGCTGCCAGAACCTCTGATGGGGTTTGGTAGAGACGCGCATTGGGAAACTACAAGTCATGGGTGGTGTGAATGCTTGTGGGCCAGGCTGACATGAGGTGAGCATTGGCTGGATTGACTTTGCACCATGTTCTCAATTGGGTATGGGTCAAAATCAAACCACCAGGAGACCGCAGGTTTTAGTCCACGTTTCCATTTTCCAGGGCAAGCCATTTTGGGTACATATGGCAGTGGCTCAAAATTAAAGAGCTAGGGTTACGCAGGTTTTGGTCCATGTTTCCACTTACCAGGGTTCCATTTTGGTACCGGTTTTTTGAGCCATACCCATATGTTTGACCCACACCCAATTTTGCAGTGCCCAGATTGGGATTGCCTGTTGGCCCGGGCCAGGTTCACTGGAATCTGACCAGGATCCGGGAGCACATGCGCGACAGCGCGCCAATTAATTCAACTTGTGCAACTTGTGCTCGTTGTTTCTTCTTTGCTCTTTATTAGAAGCCAGTCAACATTGCTTGGGCTCAGCCCGATCTTCACGAGCCGTGGTGTGCCGATAAATTCACGTGATGCATGCCCAGTAATTAGGTATGGACGTGGGCCCGTCTCGCGCTACGTTCAAAAGGGCTTCAATGGTCTGGGCTGAATGAAGCTGTTGAGAGTGGAAGTTCATCAGAGTTTCAGGCAAGCCGGTGCTTGCGCTTGCGTTTCGAGGATAGCCTTAGTCAGAAGTCTGCAGCCAGTCAGCATGCGTTGGCTTTCTGAGACGATCAAGCTGGCTGTACCTCCCCTGACTTGATGCCAGGCAGCAGCCGCCGAGCCCGTGTTTGTAGCCTACACACTGCGGACATTGTCAAGTCCGGAGCTCAGATTGACTAGAACAATTGCGACAGCTGCACTTGCTGGCACTTAGCAAGCATGACCATGACCATGACCACTTAGCAAGCATCCCAGGGTTGCTTTCGCTGAGAAATGAGCTGCTGAGCTAAAAAAACATGCGCATGATCTTGCATTGCTTGCGGAAGCTGGAGCCCCTGCAAAGACACCACGTGGTGACTGACTCTTCTTCTTTTAATTAAGCTTTTGTAGGTGGTGATACCTTCAGAGCAGGCATGCCATGGTTAGAGCACTACTTCAACACCCTACGGAAGTGCAACAAGGCCCTTTCCAGGAGGAAAGTAGTCCTTCTACAGGGGTTTGTGCACTTCCATGCTAGCTGGTGGGAGGGCAATGTTCATGGCAACCGCTGGTATTTGACGCGGCCTAGCCCGCTCAGGAGCGGCGCCCTGGATTTGCTGGTGGGCCGCGACGATGGCACCGTGGAGCTTTGGGGCCTCGGCGATGCGGCCGGGTCGAGATGAGATTCGTGGGGGGAGCCCCAAAACGGTGGTTTTCCTTTTGGCGCCCCTTCAAAACAAGCAAAGGGGCACCTGCAGGCAAGGAATTAAGGATGGCAAGGCTGGCAGGATGGAATGTTTCTGCTGGAGGTTTTGACACGCTGAACTAATTAGGATGGATGGCCAATTCGATTTGCGAAGTCGCAAATGGTGATAGTGATAGTGCAAACTAGTGGGGACAACCCGCTTCACTAGTGGGTAACAGTGTGGTAGCAGCCAGGGGACAGCAAATGAGCCAGGAAGCGACGGCAAGAGCAGATAGCTGTTAAGGTCGCCTTTTCCCCGTACAGTCTCACCCAAAAAGAGTACCCTCACAAAGACAGACACACATTTCTTGAATCCCTTTATTTTGTGGGGGAGTTGATGACATGTAATGTCCACCCTATGCTTAATAAATAGGCCGCCCCCTTTCCTGATTGCCTCAAATAAAGTTGGGGGATTTCAGGGTCAGGACTAGTTTAGAATGTGTTTTAGAATTCTAATTTAGAATTGGGCCACATCTAAAGTAGTATTGGGCATGTTTTTTTGGGGAGGGATTTTGTCTTAGAATTCTAACTTTGTATTCGGTCAATTCTAAATTAGTATTGCGCATGTTGTTTGTCCTTTTTTTGGGGGGATTCTTGCATTGGAATTCTAATTTGGGGTTTGCATGGAAAAAACAAAAGGGGTTAGATAATTTTGGGGGTCAGTGGGAACTTGCTTAGCCTGAGATTCTTTGGTGCATGAGGGGCGTGGCAACAAGGGGTCAAGGGTTGATGTTTGCAGGATTTTGAATCAAGAATTGTGCGAAGGATGTGGCCCCCGACGCTTGACGCTGAATAAAGGTAATTGTTGAACTTCCAGGGCTTGTGAGCCTGATTTGGAGCCCGAACCCGTCAAAGTCCATTGGGAGGGTCCATGCATCTGACTCAGCTGAGGAATGTGAAACCACGGCGCGGTGCTATGTTTTGATAGTATGTTGAAAATATGTCTTGCCACCATATTTTTTTGTGGTCTATTTTTTGTTGGGTTTATGTAATATTATTGCATTTTGGAAAAATAGCTTTATTTAGGGGTAGTTTACTGCTTGTAGGTGGTACCAGATTGGACCCATTTTCGCACATCGCGCGGACCTTGCTCGCCAGGCCTTTGCATCCCAGCGGCTCGAGCAGGCACACGAAGCACGGCACGCTGTACGGGGGACACATTGCAGAAATGGGTGTGTCGCGGAGCCCCAAAATAGAGGTTGCCCTTTGGTTTACCTTTAGACTATTCGAAAAGGGTACCAAACGCTTTCGCAACAAAGGCGTGCCGAGATTCTTGACTTGATGTTTCTACCCGCGCAAAGAGGGAAGGCTTTCCAGAAACCAAGGCTTTCCAGGGGGGGGCCTGTTGCACTCTGCGAAGGCCCCGACACCATTGTGGGAGACCTGCTTGCAGGAGAGCATTCAGTCTCTCAGTCTGGCGGCTTAGGCCCAGAAGTGCAGACTTCTCGCTTGGCTTTCTGGATCCACTAAACCCAAGCTGAGAGTGCTGACGAGAAAGAAAGCCTGACCCATGAAATACATCAAGACGCCATGGTTGGACAATTCCTGCCAAGCCAGCCCTGGTGCTACCTCAGGCTCGGGTCACGTCACTGGTGGAGACTACATGGAAGTCGTCAGGGGCTTTGAAGAACCTCTTTGGAGCAACTATGAACCAGAGATTACTTCATAGGAACGAACCTGGGACGATGCTGTGTCCAGGATGGCAATTTCAGGCCGTTCTGTTGAAGCAATCAATATTCGTTCGTGTATCCAGAGGCCTCAATGACATGAATTCATGAACGGTGCGCTTTAGCCGTCAGGTCTTGGCCACTTACGGTGGCAAGATCTTGGCTTTCACGCCAAGCAGCGCGGCGAAAGACCCCACGGGTACCCAGATGGCACAACAGGAGGAGCTGGATTGAGCTGCGGATTGATGTTGTCATGGCCCCACTGTTCGCAGGAAGTATTCATGGTGCGGATAGTACCTTTGCATGCTCATAAGACAGAGTGACGTACCACTGCTGAAATTGCTTGTAACCACCCTGAGGAGAAGGAGGAGGGAGGCATGTCCTTGATGAGCAGGATGGCCCGGACACCCAGTGACCTCTTGCTCCCAGCCTCGCCGATGTCCATATCACAAATGCAGGGGATAGCTTCTGGGAAGGGTGTCTATTGTGCCTATGGTGCCCATGCGCTTTAGGCCAGCTCGCGTAACGCTTTGTCCAAAGCGAACCTCTGCATTGGGCTTCTAGCCATCATCTTGTTCCCTTGGCACTTAAGCCCTGACTGTATTCAAGACTTGCAAATCGCTGTCACTCAGGTGAAATCCAGCAGAAACGCGGCCGAGGGCCGAGTTTGCGCTTGCAAGCCATGTAGCCATTTCAAGAGACATGGGATGCAGCAAGCCGAATGGCAGCCGCTGGTTTTAAGGATGCGGATCAGGCAGAGCTAAAGCAGGAGCGGACTCGGCGCTTCCAGGCGGGTGGAAGTTGCAGATGGGGGAAATGAATGGCAGCTGGGTGTGTCTATGTTTGAGGGGTAGCCCTGTTTTTGGTGGTTTAAAGGGAAGCCAACAGGAAATCCCGCCATTTTGCGTGTGTTTCCCTAAAACAAGACAGACCCACTTGTGTTTTGGTGAGGGATGCAAAGCACAACCCAAATTCCCAAGACGGAAGTGCGGCTTGGAAGGGCACCATCCGTCAGGCTTTGGAGCAGGAGGCCGGGGGGTGGGCTATGCTTTGAGTTGAAGGGGCGAAAGCAGTCAACACCAACGCATACACTTCAGCTTTGGGTTGATCGCTTGGCAACTTGGGTCATGCCAAGAGTAGGGCAAGCGTCGCCATTTGCCCAACCACAAGCCCGCCCAGAGCCATGCCCACGAAAAGAACCAGTCACGTGCTGAAGGTATATGTGCAACATGCTGATACACCAGATAGAAAGACTTGCCTGCGAAGTGTGCTAGTGCATGTACCCTTCGCACTTCAAGCCACATATCCTCTTTGGCTCAAGCTGCGAGCGTCACGCACAGCGGTCAAGCAACCGAGTTCTGTTCCAGCGATGGCTTTGCGTGGAATGGGGGTTCTCTTGATTCTTTGGGTCACGGAGGGCTCAATGCGTGACGATGACTTCCCTTTCTACGACCTTGGAACCATACCAGCATGGCGTGATTTGCGCTCTCTTCGTGGGACGCAGTCACAGGACCAGTTTGACAAGGAGAAGTACCACAAGCAATTGAAGGAACTGGATGTCCAAAGTCTTTATGAGTCCATTTCCAGGCTCATGAAAGACTCCAAGGCCTTCTGGCCTGCTGATGGTCCTCAAGACGGTGACGTTGCCAGCTATGCTGGCCTCTTCGAAAGATTGGCCTGGCATTGCTCTGGCACCTTCCGTCTTGTGAATGGGACAGCAGCAGGTGGCTGTGAAGGGGCAAGACAGCGTCACTGGCCAGAAAACGAGTGGCGGGACAATTCCAACCTGGACAAGGCGCGCGGTTTGCTCGGCCAGGTGAAGCATGAGTTCGGCTCCCAAATCTCCTGGAGTGATCTCCTCACATTCGCAGGTACGACGGCCATCAAGGCCAGCGGAGGCCCGGCGAAGAAGTTCTGCTTCGGCAGAGTTGATGATGTCAACGGCAAGAGGTCCATTCCTCTCGGCGTGGAGGGTGTCAAAGAATGTTTGGGAAACAAGTTCTGCAAATCAGACTTTGAGTGTCCGGTTGCATTCCGCTGGCCAGAGCAAGACGAAGCTGACCATGCTCGTTGCAACTTGACGCAGCCACATCATAGGCTGCAAGCAAGCCATTCCGTGGGTTTAATCTACGTCTACCCAGAAGGGCCAGAGCTCAAATCCTCTGCAAAGGGCTATTCCGCAAAGCAAGTGCACAACCGTTCCCCCCGATTCAGCGCCTTGGAGGTTAGAGACACTTTCAAAGAGCGCATGGGTTGGACTGACAGGGAGACTGTTGCTTTGATCGGCGGGGGCCACACAATGGGAAGAACTCATGGCAACTGCAACCTGACGGGCACGAAATGGGCTTCACATCCTTACAATGAGGTGGGGCCGTTCTTCGAAGCCCAAGCAGGTGCTCTCAGGGGGCCGACCGATGGAACCTGTGGCACAGGAGCTTCAGCTGGCTTGGCTCAGAATACGGTTTCGTCTGGCTTTGAGGGGCCATGGACAAGGACTCCGTCCCAGTGGAACTATGACTTCTTTGATGCAATGCTGACAGAGGAGTGGGAGCCAGTAAAGAGCCCTTTTGGAGCAGACCAATGGCGCACCAAAAGCCGACACAGTACTTATGCATCGACCATGCGTCTGACAGCAGACCTCTCTCTCGTCAATGATGAGACATATGCAGCCATTGCAAGAGAGTATGCTGCAGACCACGCAAAGTTCGATTCGGACTTTGCAGATGCCTGGTACAAATTGGTGCATCGCTCAGAGGACAACCCAAACGAGAACGACCTGGAAAGCAAATTCGGTGTTTGCACCCGATTTGAGTTTGTCAAGTGAGACTCAGACATGTATGGACTCGGGGCCCTAACCGAACAGATGTAAAGTATTGAGTTCCATGTCCATTGCTTTCGCCTGTGCCAAGGTTCACCTGACAGGAAGCGTTGAGCCTGTGCACGGATGTACAGCTACCCTCTCTTGCAATCCTGACATGGCATCAAGGGAGGGTCTTTAGCCACCATCGCCAGCATTTGAGCTGAGATCTCCATGGACAAAAACATGTCCCGTCTGGGAATAGTCGGCAGCTGAACAAATGGGTTGGGATTTTCGGTTCTTGATTGGGGTATACCCTGATGGTTCCAGGAAAACGAAGGCCTGCCGATTCTTGACGGCTTTGGTATTTCTTTGGCCGATCGAGAACGGTACTTGGGTATGTGTCAAAGTAGAGGGACCCTCAAAACTGGCTTCCCCTTAAACCAAGGTGAGAAAGGATTCCTAAGAAAAATGCAAGCCCATCTCCCCCCCCCCAGAAAAAGGGTATGTTTTCTTCTTTCCCCATGTTCACTGCACCTTTCCCTCAAAGCAAACGCGCACGACATATCAGCGATGAGACTTGCGAGGTGGCCAGGCTAAAAGCTGAGACCGACAAGGCAGGGTCGTCAATTCACTTCTCGCTGTGTAGCGTTGCAAGTGAATGCTTTATTGCATGAACTGTGAACAGAGCGCAAGAGCAAACATCAAGCAGCCTACACATCTAGCCTTGTGACTGTTCTTGTTCGGGGAGGTCATTGCAATTGTTTATTTTCCATGTGGTGTGTTTGACTGGCGTTCACGTCCAAGTACTGCACAACTGGCAGGTGCTACCCAGTCGAGCTCCGCAGCTTCATATTTTCGCCTCCGATTGTAGACGTCAGAGCTTCTTCCCTGAAGCAATCGCAGAGATAGCACTGGAGAGATCTTTACATTTGGTTGGCCTCCATTTCCACGACATGGGCTCGCAGATCAGTGTTGAAGTTGTATACAACTTTGGCAGGCGAGGAAGGACTACCAGCGCTTGTCCTCGGAGCAGATTGCAATGCAGACCACAACTAAGGCTGAGCGCACGGCTAAGGTTTAGCTGACCCTTGAGCTTCTGGTAGATAAAAGGAAGACTTTGCATGGTGTTTACCCGGCATGAGCAATTCATCAAACGCACACGCACTTAAGATAGCCCGTTGGGAGAGCATAGATATTGCTTGGATTACAGAGTGCCACCTGCTGAGAGTCTGCAGACATCCTGCAGGCTGTTGGCCATCAAAGCTGTCATGAAGCACTTGCATTGCCCAGCAGCATTTTATGCAAACTCCGTTTCCTCACATTGGCACTTTGACACTTTTTTGTTCAATAATTGTGAGCAAGGTTTTTTGGGCATGTTTCTTTCCTTCAGCATCATATTGCACGGATATGGATTGCATGTTGCCAGCCTTTGGAGAACGATCAAATGTTTCCAGGTGTTCGCACGGTTTTGGGTTGATCGCCATGCTTGTATGACAACATAATGCATAGTAGCTAAATGCGCCAAGTTCTTCATTTGACTCAATGACCAGACAACTTATGCTTATTCCACGAGAAGCGAACCGGTTTTTTTGCTCACCACAGCAGACCAAACTGTGGAGTAGCATTTTTGCTCTTGACATCGGCAGGTGTCACACCGCTTTGGCCTCACTAGTGAAGAAGCCTGCTACATCTTGACCGCCGGCGCCCTGGGATCCATCTCGGTGAGCTGAGGCCGCGCATCGCGCATCCTCTCTCGGACTGAGGTGGAGTCTCAAGCCAATCTCGAGCTCATCTCCCTGCGAGCAGACGTCGAAGTAGTCTGACCCTTATGCGACTGAGCAAAGTTGCCTGCACAAGAGTTGCCTGTGGCATGCAGCACTTGTGGCACCAGCGATGGGTACATCCAACTGAATGGAGACATGTCATGCCCCTTTGCTTCTAGCGCAGGACCTTCTGGATCACTCGGGCACCGGAGCCATCCTCTCTCGCTCCCGTGGCGATCCATCGAATCCCTTGTTGGCGCCGCTCGGACGCACGAAAAGGGCGCAAGGCTTCGGAGGCGAGTTTCCGAACGGGGTCGTGCCACAAAACGTGGGGACCACTTTGTCTGGGGGCAAGGGACAGATCATTCGGAAGCAACACACGTCTGCCATGTGTACTTGGGGCAACGGGCGTCGATGCAGAAGCTGCCAACTCAGGACCTATCGGATGCAGGAAGAAGGCCTGAAGCAAGTTCACTTGTCAAAGTCCAACTTGCAGCACTTGTACTGTAAGTAGCTCAGAGGCCGAGTAGCGCGCTGTTTTGTGGGCGGTCAGAGGTGGATCAGCCAGTTGGACTTGCGTTTGCCAGGCACCCGCTTTCAAATCCGCCTCCGAACTGTGGAGGGATTGAGTGGTGCGCCAGAGGCCTCGTGACCGTGTTCTGCATCATGTCAGTATGTATCAGTGTTCAATTCAAGGTTGATTTCCCCTGCAGACAGATGGCATGTGCTGATCCCGGCGTACAGTACCCCAACTTGAATGAAGACTGGTCCTTTTTGTGTAATTTCTGACTGTGCCCCAAACAAGCCTTGTGAGCCCACCCAGAAGCAACGCTGAATCGGCCATGAACCACTCTGAGCCACCTGGAAATACCTACGCCCACCCGAAGCAACCCCTGCGTACCGTGTTGCGTATCCCTGAGCTCCCCATTGATTCACTGATTCCCAGTTGCATCTGCTCCGCTGCAACTCCTCGAGGTACACTCTCAGCCTTTGTGGCGGGGGGCCCTGTGGCTGTAGCACAGTGTCAGTCGCGAAGGTGACGGCTCAAAGGCCATGCCAAGTGTTTGACTGAAGCATGTAATTTGTTGCTGGCAAGACCTACACCTTCCCACACTGTGGAATGTCATGTGTGCCAGTGCAGCATGTCCAGTGACTTCGGGAACTGATGTTTAGAGACGCTTGATTCTTCGTGTGCTTCAACCAAGCCTTGCCAAGGTTCCTCAGACACAGCCAAAGACTGCCATAGCCTTGGGCATCGAATCTTATAAAAGGCTTTGGACCTTGGTCGTAAGGCTCACCTGATCAGTGTCTCCATCAAGCCGCTCTCGCTGCATGAGAAGGCTTGTGCCCTTCCGGAGCTGTGCATCGTGCACCGAAAGCCAATGATCCCACCGAAGTCCGGAGCAGCTCTGGGGGCAAGGTTGCTGTTGGGGATGCCACCCGGGCTTATGAATTTATTGAGAGACCGGGCCATAGCGGAAGTAGTCCTCTTTGCGCAGATATCTGAAGTCTCGGCTGAGATCCCGATGAGTGCGCCACTCGGGACTAGGATTCGGACCTGATTTACGTGAGACACATGTTTTTTAGGTCAGAAATCAAGAGGTCTTGTGTTTGTTCATGTCTGATCCAATGTGTCAGTTCGCATGCGTTCAGCAGCAGATCGAGCATGACCAGACATTTGCTCCGGATCAATTTCGACACATCCACCTCACTGATGAAAAGCAAAAGGCAGCAGAAAGGCAGCCAAGTTTTGCAAAGCAGCATCAACCGAATTCACTTTTCCGTAGCCCGGGCCTTGTTTGACTTCCCCCCCCAAATCCCCAGCCACCCAGCCACCCAGCCACCCAGCCACCCAGCCACCCAGCCACCCAGCCACTCACCCACCCCTCCCAGCCCCCCCCCCCCCACCCAGCCACCCCCCATCCCCAGCCACCCAGCCACCCACCCCCCCCCCCCCCCCGCTTTCTCTTTCTGAGCGCTGCTCGGCTGAGATGAGCTGCGCCTCACGGGACCCTTCTCTGTGACGGACATGCATACCTGGCTGGCACAGTGCCCAGGCCCCAGATGGCTGTGGTTGTCAAAAATAGGTACCCGAAATGGCTTGGAAAATGGAACCAAGGACTAAAACCTGCGGTCCCCTAGTAGTTTAACATTTGACGCGTACGCAGATGAGGTTGCAAATTCATGGCACTTGTGTGAACCGCTCACTCCTGGGCCAGCGTTTGTTCCATGGAGACAAGAAAGCAGGTGTCACAGCCTTGACTTAGCCACTCCCATGCACAATGTCACTAGGGCCTACTCGGCACAATGGCTGGTCAGTGCTGTTGCCTGCCTAGGTGTGAATGAGCTTCCGTCCAGGCCCACAGACGATGAGATGGTGATCAACTACAGGACGAAGTGTGCTCCTATTTGGAGCAGACATTTGACGATCATGTATTGAACTTTCCAAGGTTGATGTTTTTTCGCATTCCATGCCCTCGCAAGACACTGCGCCACGATGTGGGTGTCTTTTTGAGGCTACCCGTTTCTGGTTTGAAGAGGAAACCAAAGGGAACACCGAAGCCATTTTTAGGGGTCTCCAAAAATAGAAGCCCATATGGGCACGCACACAGACGCGCACGCACAGGAGCACCTTTGTTGGCACCCAGCTCTTTGGAAGGCCGGGCCACGTGTGCTTCAGCTGTAGCTCTCGGCGAGCGGCCGCTGCGCTTTTGGCTTCGTCAGGTACACCAAGGGCTCTGCCGTGTTCAGGCGCGGGGGAGGTCTGTCAAGCGACTCATTGGATGAAACCGGGACTGAGCTTGACTCATGCGACCCTGTTGAGGACCCTGTTCAGCAACTACAGTTGCCTGCAAGCTTCTTGCAAGGTTTAAAAACCAGTGTATGCAATTACCCTCACAGTGTGGCGGGGCAGTTCTCTTGTAGAGTCATGAATTGCTGGCCAGGTCGGACTCCATCACCACGATCAGTGTCCTGAAGGACGATGCTAGAAAACGGGGGCTGTGTCAACATAGGAGAGCCCCCAACTGGGGTGTTCCTATATATTAAATATGAATATTATATATATTATATATATATATATGTATATATTGTGTCGCAAAGTCCAAATCCGTTGGGAGAAGCCTGGCAGAGCACCATGGCGCATTGTTCCGAGCCAGCTCATCGAAAGTTTCGTGACAGGATATCATTACAAAGGAGGCCACCGCCAAGAAGATCCAGGCTCACCGTGTGTGACAATTGCCATGGGTTTGTGTTTTTTTCGGGGTACCCTTTTCAAACCAAAAAGGAACATTATTTGGGGGTCTCCCTATTTTGCCCCACACCCACATGGACATTTAACCATGCAGAAAGACGCGTTCCCGACACGGAAGATGGTGTGCGATAAACTGGAACACGCTGGAAACACTCCTATGTGCTTGTAACTTTTCTCCAAGGTCATTGTAGCATTGTGCAGTGTCAGAGGTTTTGTGGCATTCATGCTCTCAAATGTGCTCACAATCGGTACGAGAAGCGCTGGAGCAGATACCCCTGTTGCACTTTCTCTTGCCCAGTATGTATTTGAATTGGACGTGTATATTTGTGGTATACACGGTATGTGGCTGAGGCCCTAGAAGTGGGCGGTTGAAGTGACCCTTTGGGTGGGAGGTTAAAGATTTCATTCGATGATTGGGAGCAAGTGCCTGCGATTGTCTTGATGCGAACATTTCTCAAGAAGAGCGTTCTCTTCTTGGTCGTGTTGACCTTCATGCCATGATGCCATGTCTTGTCGCCCTTCAGGTCTCCATGCACGTGGATGTGAAGGAAGAAACCTTTGCTCGCTTCCTGGAATTGTGGGGGCCTGAGCTACTTTGATGTCCATGGCTCGCTGTCTTCATAGCTATATTGCGGGACATGCCAACTTGAGTGGGGCACGCCTGCCAATGGCTAGTACGCAGCATGTTGAGACTGTCCAGGAGCTGCGAAACCCCTCTGGCCTGTTGCATCATGAAAATGCGCTTTGTTCCCAAGAGGAGAGCGTTGCATTTGAATGGATGATGACGACTTGATATTTCCATTGGGGGCTTGCCTGCAAGGGTGCATCCGAAGCTGAACTACCAGCACGTGCGAATCTTAGTTGGCCAGTTGATATAGCTGAAGGTACTGGTCAGCTCAGATTCATGCAGACAGGCCGACCAATACAGATAGCAGCTCAAGCCACAGGTGTGCAGTAGGCGTGCCAAGCACTCCCTTGTCAGTCCTCTTTTCTCCTTTACATGCCCGTTTTTTCCGCAGTTTCGGCTAAGCGCAAACTGGTAGAAACAATAGCATGTCCGGAATTGTCTCTTTTAATTTTGACAAACCTGGATTCGTGTTGCATAAAAAGAGGGCATGGCAGGAGCCTTTTCAAAAATGTATAAGTGTATGTATATACCTGGGCACTCCGGGTGTGCAAAATTTCCGCCGTTTGGCGAAAAAGCAATAATTTCCGCGGTTTCTTTCAAAAAGCGCTTTTTGACCCAACAACTGCTCTTTTTCAAGATTGCCGCGAAGCCTGTCAGAAAAAGCGCGTGTTGGCCGAGTGAAAGCGCTTTTTGACCCAGGAAAAGCGCTTTTTCAGCACAAGCCCAAGCAAGAAAAGCATGCATCACTGGGAAAAGCCCGCATCAAGCAAAAGCGCTTTTTCAGCCAAAAAGCACTTTTTCTTGAAAGAGCACAAAAAAAAGCACACCTTGGAGGATCCAGGTATATATATATATATATATGCACAAGTGTGCCCAGCGCCGGTCATCCGGTCAGAGCCATCTCGAGGCCTTGACCCAACAAGTGCGCATGGCATGCAGCTCAGAGCGAGAAACGTAGAGGCAATCATGGCGTGTCTTTTTTCTTTTGCCCAACCTTTTGGGTTTCCCACCCAACGTGGGGACGGTTTTTTTTTGGGGGGGCTTTTTGGATGGATGGTTTGGATGGGAAGCCCAAACAGCCGCCCACTTTAAGCGGGTTTCCGAACCCTTAGGCCATGGGAAAATCACCCGAATACATCGTGCTTCAAAATGGGTGTTGCCAGCGTTTTTTGACAGGCAGTTGCCACACTGTGGCAACAAGGTGCTGAGGAAGACAAATACCCACCATCAAATCTGCGAAGAGGGCTGCAACAACCGTACGTTTCGCGCACACCTTTGTGACAGACGCAAGACCCATCAAGTGCGCTGAAAGGTCGAGCCACTGCGCGAGGCTGGGCATTTCCCGGGCCATCAGTCCTTCTGCGTGCCAGTCTTGAACAATTCGAAGCAAGACAGGTTTGTCTCCCTGGAGACCTCGCCGTAGGCGTAGTACCACTTACGCTGAGGGACTCTGAGTAGGATTCAGCTTTCCAAGCTCTCGACCGCTATATCCGCCACGCTGATGCCCGAGTTCCGTCCCGTCAGGTTCAACTCCAGGAGGGCGACACGAAATTCCTGCACCAGGAGCTGCGGGAGCCCCGCGTGGCAATGCGAAGTTTTTGGATTAGTAGTCTCTTCTTCAAGCTGTTATTGGGCGATCTAGCACAGGCCGTGGTCATTTGCCATAGCACTGCAACAGAGGATCACATGAGGCAAAGCGGTAAGGCTTTCCGGCAACAGGCTCACCAATTGAATTTTTGCTTTAATGCGTTGGGCACTGTCACGTCATGCAAATGTATTATACCGTGACACAACATTTCATGCTGCGTACCATGTTTGCCATCGATGTCCTAATACTAGCAAAAGCAATCTTGGCCTCAAGAGATGCTAGCAGTTGGGTTGGTTGAGTATATGTTTTTTGTGGCTACCCTTTTTGCCTTGGTTTGAAGAGGGAATCCAAAAGGAACAGATCCAATCTGGGCCTTTGGGGTCCCCCATTTTGACACACACCCACACACACCGATATGATGCATTTACTCGCCACTCAGGCAATCTGTGCTGGAGCAGGCCTCCGAGATTCAGCAGCAGCCCCATCCTTAGGCAGAACTGGAGAGCTTGTGAAAGGCGCGTGCCAACCACAAGCCATGCGGGCACGATTGCAGAGAGATATCATGATGCTGATGTTGCAACTCAGCAGGGACGCATGTTCTGCGTAATTGCAGCACCATGCGCTTGCCCCGGCTGCTGCGCATCGAAGGTTTGAACTGCAGCCGCAGAAGCTGGCATTCCTGCACAACATTGTCATCTCGGTTCGAGCCACAGAGAAACACGCGCGGACGCAAGTGCACCTAATTGTATGCAGGAAGACCAAGCGGGCAATAACCCCACCCTCATTGTCGCTGCACGCCTTGCCATCCATTTGAGAATAGGACGTAGTCAACGAGCGACAGGAGCAGCGCATGCTAAGGCTTACAGACACAAATGGCGCTTGCGTGGATACCAGAGCGTGGACCACCGCATCAAGGCAGCATGGTACTGCGAAGGGTAGAGCAGCGTCGCAGATGCGCGGGTGTATGTTTACTTGGTTGATAGGGATGGTCACAGATAGTGGACTTAGACCATTGTCAGGGAGCCATGCCCAAAACTCACATTTGTCCATTGCTGATGGCCAGGACCTGCAGAAGCTTTTGGAGGCCCAACTGCACAGCACGTGCGTGCTTGCAGAGAGTCGCACGCTCGGGTTGCTGTGTTGGACTGGGCCAGTCCTACAACCTGGAAGCAGTCTCCGCCTTCTTCAGCGAGTCCATTGACTGAGCGGAGAACATGGACTCACAACGGAAGGAGCGTTCCTTTCATGCCTCCTTTGGCCCTAGCGTCAACCAGAAGCACACTGACCCACTTCCGCAACATTCCAGCTCATAAGTAAATATGCTAGCTTCTTCACGTGATTAGCCCTACAAGCATCTCTGTGTATGTTTTGCCATGTGCACACAAATTGAGAAAGGTGTCTCACCCCGCAAGAACGGGTGCATGTAGGCTTAGGCTAGTAGACTGTCTAATATGAGCAGTGATGCAATCGTCACAAGCAATGCAATATGACGCGCTCTTTCAGCAACTCTCACAGTGATACGAGCCACCGGGCTTCAGGAGGCAGCAATATATGTGATCTACTTCAGGGTAAGCACTCAGAGCATATGCCGACACGCACAGAAGCCTGTATGTAGCGCAGTGTGGCGGAATTACTTTGGCCAGTTCGTAACCGCCCGAGCAGTGGCCAATCAAACAAGTGCAGAACGCGTCTTGCAGTGCTGCTTGTCATGTGGCTTTCGATGCGCAGAATGTTGCAATGGGATATTTGCGCGTTGCTTGGCAGCCGTTTGTTGGCATTGCTTTTAGCCATGACGTGGTACACACTGCCAACGCAGCCTAATAACTAAGAACCGACTGCGCAAGAATATGCCATTCTTGTGCATGTCTGCTCAGTAGCTTTGGGAGCAAGAATGCTGGGCTTAAAGGCAGGTAGCCCTTTGACACTGGGCTGATCAGTGGCAGACAGCGGAAGCTTCTTACAGCATTCCGCAAAGGTTCACGAAAGGTTGACAATGAGCCACCCAAGCCACCCAGAAGCCACCCACCCAAGCCACCCAGAAGCATACTTGATGTCCACCCAAGAGAGCCACGCCCAAAAGCGTAGCTGATGGTTCTGGCCACTTGTGCAAAGTGCAGACAGCACGGGCGCATAGGGCGGCGTTCTCGTCATGTCCTCGATCTCCCCACGGCGCGTGGACTTCGCCCCGAGTCCGCGGCGCGCCTGGCGAGACGAAGACTCGCAGGCGGGAGGGAGATGCCTTTGGATTGGAGGTCGGGTTTTGGCCCGGGGAAGTTCCACATGTTGCTTTGAGATGCCAGACTTCGGAAGCAGGCTCCACTTGTTTGCTTCATTTGGTTTTTAAACGGTGTGTCTTGTTTTAGCAACCCCCAAAATGCTTGGTTCCCATTGGTTTCCCAAAAGAACCAGCCAAAAAGGGGCATGGTCGAAAAAAAGACGCGCCGCCCATCCTCGACCCGACTTAGGACGTGTCCCCCGCGCCGGGCAGCAGCGAAGTGGTGCTGCTGCGCTGCCGGGAGACCATCGAGAGGCTGCATGGAGACGTCGAGGAGGAGCGGCAAAAGCGGCAGAGGCAAGCCGGCGAGCCCACGATGGACCACTCAAATGGGCGCGTTTGTTGTCTGGGGTAACCCCTTGTTGGTCTGTTTTTTTGGGGAAACCAACAGGAAAACTAGAGTCAAAGACGGGAACCATTCAATGGCTGGTACATAGGCTGGCAGCTATAGTATATGCAACATTGCGCCATCGATACATGTGTCGACACACGTGCAGACAGGCGGGCGGACAGACAGACATACAGACAGACAAAGAGAGAGAGGCAGGCATGGACATTTTGTCAAGACTCTACTGGAAAGACGCACAACGTTGGTCTCTCATTGAGAATGCAATCTTGTAGGCTGCAAGATCAAGCAGCAGCCAACGAGGATGAGCTCGCCACGGTCAAGGCTGCTCGAATTTCCCGAAAGCTTCTAAGGGAGGGCTGGAAGAGCGGCAAAGGTTCTTCTTGAGGAGGCTTGTTATTGTATTCGAAGTCTGGCTCACTTCCCGTCATGGTAATAAACGATATCAGGCCGCGTCGTTTCCCAGCTACGTGGACTCTCCGTTCTGAGTTGTTTTTTGTATTTCAGTGTGAGTGAGAGAGGGGGTTTCATCTTTCTCCAAACATGCCCTTCTTGATGTAGAAAGAAGCCAATAGGACACCTTTGGGGTCCAACTGAAAATCAGTTGGAGCCCAGGTGTTTGGTTTGCTTTTGGCTCCAAAGGACGCCCTCCGCGCAGGCGCAGCTGGTGGAGGAGTCTGAGCGCCTGGCTGCGGCGGAGCGCGAGCGCCGGCTCCTGGAGCGGCAGCTGATGGAGATGCAGCAGAGGCAAAAGGCGGAGAAGGACCGGAACGGACAGACACATTTTCCGGATTTTTGTTTTGGAGCAAAACTTGGGGTCGAGTTGGTGCCCAAAGCGGATTTTCCGGATTTTGGTTGAGTTGGTGCCCAAAACTTTTGGGGGGTTGAAAGGGAGACCAAAAGGAAAACCAGGAGTGGGGTCCGACCATTTGGACACCCGTTTGGTTTGACACCCATTTGAAATTTGGTTTGACTACGAATTCTCAATATGACTTTTGGGGGGCAGTTTGTGTTGAACGCCTAGAAATTAGTTCGGATGGTCATTCTGAGGATGTCACTGGCCGGCACACAAAGCAAACAGAAGACCACGGGCAACTTGTCTTTTTCTTCACTTTTTGAAGCTGCCCAGACACTGGGGATGTATGCGTGCGGAGGCCGGTGTGTGTGTGTGATCGTCATTGGAGGAGATGCATGAGGCTGCCAGCTCCCAACTTCAGGGCTTGAAGAGCGAGTCTGTGCAGTGGCCCAGCTGAGCTTGGAGGGCAAAACCCACATGCTTTGTGGATGACGAGCGATATGAAGGGGGCGTGGTGTCTCCGAATTTGCCTGTTGCAAGGATTCAACGTCAATTTTGAGCAGCAGCTTTTGGCTGGCTCGCTGAAAGTTGCTTCGGACCGCTGGCTATTGCAGACATGGCAATGATGGAATAGAAATGCTGGCCACGAAAAAGATTTGATAAACGGGAAAAGCTACCCTGAGCCACAAGCAAAAGGTTAGTAAGGGACAATCCCATCCCATACACAGCTGCAAATATCTGCCTTCTTATTTCTTTACATGGGTTCTCGGTAGACCATTGTAATACCGGGTTTTGGTTATGACGCAAATGACCATGGGTAACTTTTCCCATTTGGTGGGACATCAAATCTTTTCAAATGGTCATCCCATGCTCATGGGACCTCATCAACGCCCCCGCCTCACGCTGCTGAGGAAGGCCCAGGAGCACTTCGCCCAGCAGCTGCGCCTCAGCGAGGCGGAGGCCGCGGCGCAGCGCGCGGAGGCCAAGGCTGCGGAGGCGGAGGCAGAGGCCGGGGGTTTCCCCCCCGAAAAGGTCGGCGGGTGTGTCTTAAGCCAAGGGAAACCTGCAAGTTGCTGGGTGTCCTTTTGGTTTCCCTTTAACACCAACCCAAAAATAATGGGGGGCAACCCCAGCCCCCCCCCAAAAAAAAGGCGCCGGAGTTTGAAGGGTTGGTTGCAAGAGCAGCGCCTCGGCTTTGAGAAGGCGAGGGCCATGTTGTTTGGGCTCTTGCGGCTTTTTGGCTGCGGCTTTCGAGACGACTGGCTTGCGGCTAAGACGAGAATGCACATCAACCCCAAACCAAACGACCTGAACTGAGCCCATAAACCAACTCAAAGCGAATGCGCCCAGCCTAATCTGAAACCATGCCAAAGAACTGTTTTCTGAACTGCTTTACGCTCTAACCCAACTCAACATGAAGCCTATACCCTAAACCAACCCGACACCAACCCCCAACAAACAATCTCTTATCTCATTTGTGCTGTAATCAAAACCAACCATCCTGAGGCCACCCCGCAAGCCTCAAGGGCTCAAGTTGGGTGCACTTGTTCTACCCCAGAATTATGGACATTGGGGGAGCCAAGGAGCCAGGGATGCATAAAATCCTCACTCATAGGGGGGCCTGAGCCCAAATTTTCCCTGGCATCATTGGTTAATCAAGGCTTATGTGTCAAGATAAGGGCACTCCCCAAAATGGCGATTGTCCTTTGTGTTTCCATTGACCCCACCTCCAAAATGGGCACCGAGCCGAAAAAAGAAGAGATTGTAACTCCACCGAGCGCAGGCGGCAAGGAGTTCAGAAGAGCTGCGCGGCGCTCAACACCAGGTCTTGGAGGCGGAAGCGGGTGCGCAGCAACTGCAGGAGCCAAAGTTGTTGCCAAATAGGTGTTTTTGTTGAGGGTATTGGCACCCTTTCCAGGTGAAACCAAAAGAAAACCGCCCTTTCTTGGGGTTCCGATTTCTATGTTTGACAGTCCTTTTGAGCGGAGCAACTGCTTCTCAATGACACAGCTTGCCCCATGCTGAACACTTAAGAGGACTATCCACCTGAAGGGCTCCTAGTAGTCATTGAGGACCTCATATGACACCCTTGCTTTTCTGTTGTTTTTTTAGGCCAGCCTTTCACAGACGCAAAGACCCAGACGCAGACAGACACAGACGCACAGACACGCAAACACATACACAACATGTACAATAGGTGTATATACAAATAAAAACCTACATACATGTACATTTTTAAAATATATGATATATATATATATATGACACAAACAACACACAACATATATATATATATATACATATATAGGGAAGAATTGGGCCTATGTGTCGCCCAAGGCCCTGAATAATAGTTTCCCGGGTTCTCCCTGGGCCAGTTCCAGGATATTAAAATAAATAAATAAATAAATAAATAATTCAAAAAAAACAATGATTTTTTTTTTTAATTTCTGGAGGCCTCCATTTTTTTGATGTTTTCTAAATAAAATAAAAATAGATAGTTTCCTGGGTTCTCCCTAGGCCAGTTCCAGGATATTTAAAAAGATGTTTAAAAAATCAAATATATTAAAAAAAAAAAAAAAAAAAAACTCATTTTTTTTTTTTTTTATTAAGTTTCTGAAGGCCTCCAAAAAATTAAAAAATAAATAAATAAAAATCAATTAATTTAAAGAAAAAATCAAATAATTTAATTATTTATATTCTTTTTTTTAAAAAAAATCTGAAGGCCTCCAAAAATGTAAAAAATAAATAAAAAATATAAATATTTAAATTATTTGATTTTTTTAAATTAAATGAATTTTTCAATTTTTTTAAATATCCTGGAACTGGCCCAGGGAGAACCCAGGAAACTATTTTTTTTTTTTAAATTTTTTGGTTGCCTCCAGAAATTTAAAAAATTTAAAAAATATAAATATTTAAATTAATTGAATATTTTAAATTATTTGATTTTTTTTTATTTTTTTTTTAATATCCTGGAACTGGCCCAGGGAGAACCCAGGAAACTATTTATATTTTTCATTTTTTTTTTTTAAAATTTTTGGAGGCCTCCAGAAATTTAAAAAAATTAAAAAATATAAATATTTAAATTATTAGATTTTTTTAAATTATTTGAATTTTTTAAATTTTTCAATTATCCTGGAACTAGCCCAGGGAGAGCCCAGGAAACTATTTATATTTTTTAATTTTTTTAAATTTTGGAGGCCTCCAGAAATAAAAAAAATAAAAATAAAAAATATTTAAATTATTTGAATTGTTTAAATTAATTGAATTTTTTTAAATTTTTTAAATATCCTGGAACTGGCCCAGGGAGAGCCCAGGAAACTATTTATATGTTTTATTTTTTTTTAATTTTTTGGAGGCCTCCAGAAATTTAAAAAAAAATAAATAAAAAAAAAAATATTTGAATTTTTTAAATTATTTTGAATTTTTAAATTTTTTTAAATATCCTGGAACTGGCCCAGGGAGAACCCAGGAAACTATTTATATTTTTTATTTTTTTCAAAAAAATTTTGGAGGCCTCCAGAAATTTAAAAAAATTAAAAATATAAATATTTAAATTATTTGATTTTTTTAAATTATTTTATTTATTATTATTATTTTTTTTTATTTTTTTTTAAATATCCTGGAACTGGCCCAGGGAGAACCCAGGAAACTATTTATGTTTTTTAAATTTTTTAAATTTTTGGAGGCCTCCAGAGATTAAAAAAAATAAAAATAAAAAAAAGAAATATTTAAATTATTTGAATTTTTTAAATTATTTGATTTTTTTTTTAAATTTTTTAAATATCCTGGAACTGGCCCAGGGAGAACCCAGGAAACTATTTATATTTTTAAATTTTTAAATTATTTTATTTATTTTTTTTATTTTTTTTAAGTATCCTGGAACTGGCCCAGAGAGAACCCGGGAAACTTTTTTTTTTGGAGGCCTCCAGATTGTTTTTTTTTAATTGAATTATTTAAATTATTTGATTTTTTTTTGAATTTTTCAAATATCCTGGAACTGGCCCAGAGAGAACCCGGGAAACTATTTATATTTTTTAAAATTGTTTGGAGGCCTCCAGATATTTCAATAGAATTAAAAAATATAAATATTTGAATTATTTGAATTTCTTTTTCTTTTTCAAATATTGTTTTTTTTTTTACATATCCTGGAACTGGCCCAGAGAGAACCCGGGAAACTTTTTTTTGGAGGCCTCCAGATTGTTTTTGTTTGAACTATTGAAATTATTTGATTTTTTCAATTTTTTTAAATATCCTGGAACTGGCCCAGAGAGAACCCGGGAACCTATTTATATTTTTTAATTTGAAATTTTTGGAGGCCTCCATATTTTTTTTTAAAAAAAAATAAATATTTAAATGATTTGAATTCTTTATTTGTTTTCATTTTTTTGCTTTTTTTTTAAATATCCTGGAACTGGCCCAGAGAGAACCCGGGAAACTATTTTTTCATTTTTTTGGAGGCCTCCAGAAATTAAAAGAATATATATTAAATGTAAAGACTTATTATCTTTTTTAATTATTCAAATTATTCATGATTTTCAACTTTTTCCAATATCCTGGAACTGGCCCAGGGAGAACCCGGGATATTACTCAAAAAAATAAAAAATGGAGGCCTCCAGAAAGTTAAGACATTTTAATAAATGAATGTTTATTGGTTTGCTTGTTATTTTTTCAAGCTTGCTGAATATCCGGGAACTGGCCAGGGAAAACTTTTTTTTAGACGCCTCTACAAATTTAAGAACAAATAACTACAAAAACAAACTCTATATTTTTTAAATATCCGGGAACTGGCCAGGGAGAACCCTGGAATTTAATTATTGTTTTTGTACAAAAAATGGAGCCCTCCAGAAATTTAAAAATTAGAAGATAAATAATTTTAGATTATTTGACATGTTTAAAACATTTTTTAAATATCCTGGAACTGGCCCATGGAGCACCCTGGATTTTTGTTGGTTTTTGGAGGCCTCCAGAAATTAAAAAAATAATACTTAAATTATCTGATTATTTTAGGTTGTTTAAACAGAATGAAACTGGCCCAGGGAGAACCCTAGAAATGATTCAATTTTCATATTTTAAAAAGAATGCCTCCAGAATTTGAACAAACACATTTTTATAATGCTTTCTCAGGGGCCGCCAAAAGGATTGAAGGTTTATCTTCTTTGAGTATTCCGCACGGGCCCAGGGAGGGCCCAGGATATGTCTTTTTCAGGGCTCCAACAAATTGAATAGCACACGTAGTCAAATTCATAGAACTATCTAAATAACTTAAACGTTTTTGTTCCGAGCCTCCAACAAATAATGCGCTAAGAAACACATTTGTACATTCCATAATTTCGAATTGTTTGAATTCGAGACACCCAGATTCTTTAAATATTCTACAATGGGCCCAGGAAGGGCCCTGGACATAACTTGGATTATTTGAACAGATATGTTGTTCAGGACCTCCAACATTTTGATCAAAATAAGCAGTTCGCATTTTGGAATTATTTGAACTTTTTCATTAGGAAAAGTTTATTTTCGGAACTAGCCCAGGGGGTGCCCTTGAAATTGTTTAAATTGTGTGAAATATCTAAATACTTAGTTACCCAAACATGTTCATTTGTTCTAACTATTTAGGACGTTGGACACAAATGAATCTGGAGTTCTCCAAAAGGCGCCCGTCCCTTTGAACATATTCGAGTAGAAAGCATGTTGTTTTATAAGACATATTCTAAGTAGACTAGTTGTTCAAATCATGTTGGTTTATAATAGTTAGACAAAATAAGGTGCTGTTTTCCAAATATTGACACGATTCTCAAAGATTCGTGTAATTAGGCTAATTAGACCCACGTTGAGAAATAGAATAAGTACCAAGCGATTGACGTTTAACTCCCCAGAAAACACCCGTCCCTTTGAGAATAATTAGAATACTTAGCATGATTATGAACCATGAGAATCATTGGATTAGATAATAGATCTGGAATTCCTGAAAGGGGCCCATCCCGTTGGGAACCATTGGACTAAATCAAATCATTATGATAAGTACAATCATTAGCAAGAATATGGATCTGGAATTCTCCCCCCCTGGAAGTAATTGTTTGGAAAACATGAATGTGGAACTCTGGACCTCCCCAAAAGCACCCTACCCTTTGGGAATGAGAATGATACATAGAGCAATTATCAGAAGGTGCAAAGCTATGAACCTGGAATTCCCCAAACGGCACCCGCCCCTCTTGGAATAAGTAGAAGCAAAAATAGCAATGATAAGTAGGCTAATTTGCAAAACATTAATGTTCAACTCCACAAAGGCACCCGTCCCTTTGGGAACGACGTCCCTGTGGGAAGAATGATTATAACAAGTTGATAAGTAGCGCTAGACTAGAAAATGAATCTGGAATTCCTCAAAAGGGACCCGTCCCGTGGGGCAGAATTGAAATAATCCGGGTACTTCCAAAAACAGAAAATATCTGAAGTAGAAGGATTAGAGATACTATGAGTCTGAAATTCCCCAATTTGAGGAATGAAGAAATTGAAAAACAAGAATCTGGAACTCCCCACAAGCACCTGTCCCTTTGGGAATGACAATAATAAATAGAGCAGTTATCAGAAGTAGAATCACTAAAAACATTGAAAAACAAACATGATTCTGGAACTCAACAAAAGGCACCTGCCCCTCTCGGAATAAGAATAATCATTATAATATCTACGATGAGTGGACAACATTTCCCAAACATGAATTTTCAATTTCCCAAGGGCACCCGTCCCTGTGGGAGTAATTAGAAAATTAGAGCAGATAGAATAACCAGAATAATTGAACACACATGAACCTTCCCAGAAGGCACTTGTTCCTTTGAGAAGACTGATCATAAGAAGTAGAAGGGACCCGCCCCGTTGGCAATAATTGGAAACGCGGGTAGTAATCCGAATTTCCCCAAATGTCCGCAAATTTGGGAATGACCAGTTGCAAAAACAAGAGCCTGGAATTCCCGTCCCTTTGGGAATGAGAATGATCAGAACAAGAAGCAGAATCAATAGAAAAAAGCAATGAACCGGAATCCCCCCAAAGGCGCCCGCCTCTCTTGGAATAAGGAGAAAATCATGGCGATGATAAGTAGGCTAATATGCAAAACATGAATCTTCAATTCCCCAAAGGCCCGCCCCCTTGGGAATAATAAGAAACAACAGAACATGTAGAATAACTAGAAAGATTAGAGCAAACGTGAATCTGGAGATTCCCTAAAGCACCCGTCCCTTTGGGAGAATGATTATAATAAGTGAATGAGTAGATTGAATCTGGAATTCCTCAAAAGGGACCCGTCCCGTTGGGCAGAATTGAAATAATCCGGGTACTTCCAAAAACAGAAAATATCTGAAGTAGAAGGATTAGAGATACTATGAGTCTGAAATTCCCCAATTTGAGGAATGAAGAAATTGAAAAACAAGAATCTGGAATTCCCCACAGGCACCTGTCCCTTTGGGAATGCCAAGAATAAATAGAGCAGTTATCAGAACTAGAATCATTAAAAACATTGAAAAACAAACATGATTCTGGAGCTCAACAAAAGGCACCTGTCCCTCTGGGAATAAGAATAATCATTATAATAGCTACGATGAGTAGACAACATTTCCCAAGCATGAATGTTCAATTTTTCAAGGGCACCCGTCCCTGTGGGAGTAATTAGAAAATTAGAGCAGTTAGAACAACTAGAATAATCGAACGCACATGAACCTGGAGATTCCCAGAAGGCACCTGTCCCTTTGAGAAGACTGATCATAAGAAGTAGAATTAGTGTAGCAGACAATGAATCTGGAACTCCTCAAAAGGGCCGCCCCGTTGGCGATACTTGGACAATGCGGGTAGTTCCAAAACAGGTGAAGTTGAATAAGAGAGAGACCATGAATCAGAATTTCCCCCAAATTTGGGAATGACCAGTTGCAAAAACAAGAGCCTGGAATTCCCGTCTTTTTGGGAATGAGAATAATCATGAGAAAAATATATCAGAAGTAGAACCAACAGAAAAAAACTATGAACCTGGAATTCCCCAAAAGGCGCACGCCTCTCTTGGAATATGGAGAAATCATGGCGATGATAAGTAGGCTAGTATGCAAAACATGAATCTTCAATTCCTCAAAGGCACCCGCCCCCTTGGGAATAATAAGAAACAACAGAACATTTAGAATAACTAGAAAGATTAGAGCAAACATGAATCTGGAGATTCCCTAAAGGCACCCGTCCCTTTGGGAAGAATGATTATAATAAGTTCATGAGTAGATGTGCTAGACTAGAAAATGAATCTGGAATTCCTCAAAAGGGACCCGTCCCGTTGGGAATAATTGGAATAATTTGGGCACGCCCAAGAACAGAACATATTGTACGTAGAGTAGTTAGAGAAACAATGAATCTGAAAGTTCCCCAATTTGGAGAATAAAGAATTGGAAAAAGCAAGAATCTGGAATTCCTCGCAAGCACCCCCCCCCCCTTTGGGAATGACAAGAATAATGGGAAGACGTACAAGGCACCCACCTCTTGTGTAGTAATTGTTGTACCTAGAACAACAAAGGTGCCCGTCCCTTGTAAATAATAATGATAGTAGTATTTTACAAGACTGATGATAAGTAGACTAATCAGCGAACGTGAATCTTGAACTCACTAAACGGCACCTTCCTGTTTGGGACCAAATAGAAAATAGGGAAATAATCTAGAACTTATTAAATGGGAGCTGCTCATTTGGGAATGGCTCGAATAGTTTGAACAATGCGGGAACCACGAATCTCGCCACCAACAGGCCCCATCCCTTTTGACACAATTATCCTACCCAGGGCAAACACGAGCTTGGAATTCCCCAAGACGCACCCCAGCTCCCTAGGGATTCAATTAGAATAATATAGAATGATTATGATAAGTAGAATACTTAGCAATCAGGGCTCTTGAATTCCCCAAAAGTCACCCGTCCCTTTGGGAATAATGATGAGAATTAGAAGAGTTATGATAAGTAGAATAGTTAGAAAACATGAATCTGGAATTCATCAAAAGGCACCCCACTTTTTGGAAGAAGTAGAATACTTAGATTAGTTCAAATAATTAGCACAAACATAAATCTGGAGTGCCCCCAAAGGCACCCGCGCCTTTCGCAATAAGTATGTAAATGAGAATAATTGTAATTTTGTGGGGAAGCATACCCAATAATTAAGACAGTAGGACAAAGATGGGTTTGGAAATCTCCAAAAGCAACCCGTCCCTCTGGGAAGAATTATAATAATTAGAACAAGTAATATAGTTATGATAAGTAGAATAGCTGGCAAACATGGATCTTGAATTCCACAAGACACACCCGCCCCTTTGGGAATGATTAGAATGAGAATAAGTTGATTAGTTAGAATACTATAGTTGAAACACACATGAATCTGGAATTGGGATTTCCGAAAAGGCACCAGTCATTGGGAATAGCTAGAACAAAGGAACTAATTAGGGGCGGATTCCCCACAAGGGGCCCCGTGCCGTTGGGAATGCGTGCTACAACCAGAATAATCAGAGCAGAATGACCTGGAAACCACACTGGACTTCACCAAATGGCTTGAAAACAAAGAGAATCCTTAGATTTGCTTAAGTTGTTAGAATGAGTAAAATAATTAGATCAACCATGAATGTGGATTTCCGCAAAAGGTACCCTCCTGTGGGAATACATCAGAGAGTGATGATTGCTATGAGAAGTAGACTAACTCGAACACATTTGACCCAAAATGCACCCGCCCCTTTGCGAATAAATATAAAATCACGTAGAATGATTCGAAAACACGTGAATCTGGAATTCGCCAAAGGGCAGCCGTCCCTTGGTGAAAAATATGTAATAATCAGAATAGCTGTAAGAATTAGGACAATGCACCTGGAATTCCCCAGAGCGCGCCCGTCCCTTGGGTAATAAATAGAACAAGTATAAATTTCAATGAGCTAGAAGAAATTGTTTCGGAATTCCCCAACAGTCCCCTGCCCCTTTGGGAGTTTCTAGAATGATTCGAGAATTAAAAAGAAAAAGGGCGTTTGTTTGTGTTAGTGTACTTGGTGTGTGTGTGTGTGTATTGCTTGACACTCTGTTTGAGTGCCCTTTGTGCTCTCAGTTTCTCTCTCTCTCTCTCTCTCTCTCTCTCTCTCTGCTTGTGTTTGCGTGCGTGCGTGCGTGCGTGCGTGCTTGCGCGCGTGCGTGCGTGCGTGCGTGCGCGCGTGTGTGTGTGTATCATGAGTGAGGGAAACATCCCCCCCGCGCGTACCACTTTGGGGGAAACAATCATCCCGCGCGCGCACGCCACATAGGACCTAATCTTCCCTGCCACCCCCCCCCCCCCCCTGGTGCCTAGGTTTTGCCTGATTTTAACCACCTTTTTCAAGACTTTTTGTATTTTTTGGGCCAAACTTGGGCACCAAGGAAGGGGTGTGTGTGTGCCACAATTCTACAATTAAGAATGCTGGATCCAAGATTGCTGGGAGACTTTCAATGTGACAATCTGGAATTCAAGATTCAAGCTTTCAAAACAATATTTTCTGGAATTCTGGGATATTGAGTCTTGCTTCCCATTTTTCTTAATTCTGGGATTCAAGATTCAACATTTCAAAATAATCTTTTTCTGGAAATCTTGAATCTTGAATCCCAGATTATTTTTTTAAAACAAATATATTAAAAAATGGGATGCAAGATTCAAGATTCAAGATTTCAAAATAGTCTTTTTCTGGAAATCTTGAATCTAGGGGTTCTAGGGGAATACTAGGGGAACACTCAGGGAATACTAAGGGAATATTAAGGGTGCATACTAGGGGAGTACTCAGGGAATACTAGGAGAATACTAGGGGAATACTGAGGCAATACTAGGGTAGGCCAATACTGGGGAAATACTTGGGGAATATTAAGGGAGCACTAGGGCAATACTAGGAGAATAGCAGGGGAATACTATGGGAATTCTAGGAGAATACGAGGAGAACACTCAGGGAATATTGGGCGAATACTAAGGGTTAGTACTAGGAGAATACTGAGGCAATACTAGGGGAGTATTAAGGGAATACTAGGGGAGCACTGAGAATTACTAGGGATATACCAAGAGAATACTAAAGGAATACTAGGGCAATACTAGGGGAATACTTGGGCAATATTAAGGGATTACTAGGGCTTACTAGGAGAAAAGTAGGGGAACACTGGAATTCTAGGGGAATACTGGGAATACTAGGGGAATACTAGCAAACCACTCAGGGACATTTACGGGAATACTAAGGGAGAATACGAGGAGAATACGGGAATACTGAGGAAATACTAGGGGAGTATTAAGGGAATGTTGCCAGATTTTTAATCATCTGCTTCTTGCCATGATGGACTGCAAGCCCATTCGTCTGTGCTCAAAATCTATTGCAAACAAATCTAAACTCTACAGCCTGCGCGCTCAAATCAAGCAAAACCTAGGCACCAGGGGGGGGCGTAGCATATATACATATATATGTATAGCTGCCGCCAATAGCACCTTGAAATTGGAGGAGGCGCTGGAGGGCAAGGGCCAGGAGCTGGACCAGGCTTTGCAGCAGCTGGCGGAGCTGGAGCACCGCTGCGAAAGTTTGGGCCAGGACTTGGAGGATCTGCAGGCGGAGCGGGGAGCGCGAGCCGCGGGGAGCGGGGAGTGTGGAGGGAGGAGTCGCCGTTTTTTGTTTTGTTTAGCGGGCCATATCCAGGGCCTTTGGAATCGTACCACTCCCTGAGCTGGGTACAAGGAAGCCATTGATTTGGAGGAGTTGTTTTTAAGGGCACCTGGTTTTAGATGGCTGGAAGGGAATCCCAAAGGAAACTGTCTCACTCCCTGAGTTCCTGGACTTTAAGCACTTTTTTGGGACCATTTCATTGATCTTCGTCCGTTGTTCCGCCCTCGTCGCTTCGGCGGCGGGCGAGGATGCGGTGAGTTCTTCCCTTTTTTTGGACCATTTTCGTGGTAAACTTAGTGGTAAACAAGAAGTTTGGACTATCTACAGGGAAACCGACAGGAAACCAGCCGTTTTCAGATGTTTTCCGGCCATTTTGAGAAAGATGGAAGGGGGAGAACTGGCCGGTTTTTTGGGGGGCACCCCCTCAACATATACATGGGTGTGGTGCGTGATGCTCCAGTGGCATGCACAAGGCATGTCTTCTCAATTGGCGCTGGGTGGGTCTACAAGTTGACTTTCAAGCCAATTGATTTCACTGCTGCTTTTTCAGCAACGCTGAATGAGGCATTTGTTAAGGAACACTTGCATGAGCAGTCACGGGGTTGGCTAATTCGGCGCCTTGCGAAGAGTTGCCCAGGCCATGAAGGCCACACGAAGGCCATATTTGAAACAATCTGGCTACACCTCAGCCAGGCTGACAAGCAGGCAATCGTGGAGTCTAACCAGTTTGAGCTGCAGGAGCTGGCAATGAGACAGGAGTGGGGCTGGTAGTCGATGGCCAAGTGGCACCCGAATCAACATGCCCAGGCCGCTTTTGCGGATTGCCTGCTTAACTATAAATGAATGAGCAGGGTGCAATTAGTTGCTCAGCCGTTGCTGAAGCCAAAGAGCGCTTGCAGAAATCAGTCAGCACTGATCCTTTCCGAGCAATAGCGCTCTGGGAAACCAAAAGGAACTCCCCAATTAGTGGGTTCCCCTTAAAGGGACACCTTTAAGGGAACCCCAGAAAATGGGTCCACATTGTGGATGGACGAACTCCTGCATCACTTCAGAAACCCTGAAATCAAGATTCCCCTGTAAATGCCAACAAACCATGGGTTTTCACCATGGTTTCCAAGTAGTGCGAAGGGATTTCGTCCAGTATCCCTCGGTCGAGGAGCGGCTGCAAGGCGCCTGGCGCGAGCGCGAAGTGGAGCTGCAGCGGGCCTTCCAGGAGTGAACTGGTCGGGCCCCTGCTCGAAATTCATAGATGAAAACGGCAAAAGCAGAGGACACCTGAAAAATGTCATGAAATTGAAGGGATCTTTGGTTGGGCTTCCAGAGAATGGTGCTTGTGATGTTTATATTGTGAAGCGATGTCACTACATTTGAAACTAGATAGGATGGGGCAACTGCATCCTTCTGGATTGGAAGTCTCCTTTGGGAGATTTGCAACGGAGGAGCGGGATGAATGCCAGAACGACCTGGAACAAGCGCAGCAAGAGGCAGAGCGTTCAAGGCAGCAGGCGCCTCTGGTTGTCAGAGTTTCACGGAAAGTGCGCTCTTCATTCCTTCTGTTGTCGAACAACATGAGGAATCAGAGTCCCTGCTCTCCTGATTGCTATCCATCACTTCACTTCAAGTCAAGCATTGACCGGGCAACCGGCCACAATTTGACCCGTTTGCCGCATCATAAGGGTTCCCCCGCGTTACTCTCAGGTGCCCGGGTTTGCTTCAACTGGTAAATAGCGGTTTCCAAAGACAGTTTTGTAGCCAGGCTCCAGAAGACCAGAGTATGGCTTCCTAGGGCCAGCGTGATTCAGGTTCTTTCGAACAATCTACAGCAAAAGGCCCTCAAGCACAATGCCAATTTAATGTATTGCTGTGCTAAACAGAGCATCAAATGCTGACCTTTCCGCAATATCATCCTGAGCTCCAGTCGCCCTCCTCCGCGACCACAACCACGCGCCACCAGCCGGCTTCCTTGAACTTGACTGGGCAGCGCCACCTCCACTGCTGCCAACCACAAATTCTTGCAGCGCCACCATGCCTTGTGACTCGCTGGCAGGCGCGACGCCTCACAGAGGAAAATCGCGACCTGACAGATAAGCCGGGCTGCTTGGAGCAGGAGTGATTGGACCAAGCACCTGGATTGTACCTGGTTTGAAAGACCCTCAGTAACATGAAAACTACATGCACAATGTTCTTTTCAGAATTTGGGCCCTTATCAACGTATATGTCCAACTCGCTATCCTCACACGCAAGCGCTGCAAAGGTGCCAGCGTTTGGAAAGCGAGCTCTCGAAGCTGCGCAAGAAGGCGCGAGTCCGTTGAGGGTGAGTCCGTTGAGGGTCCCAAAAAGCGACTATGGCACCCTTTGGTCCACTGAGCATGAAACTCACCAGGGTCCCTTTTAAAGGAGCAGCGGCTCGCACCCCGGCTGTGAGGTTCCATGTGGATGGCAGGGTACCTCTGTTCAGAGTCAGCTGATTGGAGCTGCGAGGGCGAGGAACTGAAAGTGGAGGCTGCGGAGAAGGCGCAGGACCTGGAGCAGCTGCAAAGGCGAGCGGGCGAAAACGAAGCAGCTGAGGCGGTGGCTCAAACTAAAAGGTACCCAAATTGGTATGGGTCAAAATAAAACCACCAGGGGACCGCAGGTTTTGGTCCATGTTTCTACTTACTAGGGTTCCATTTGGGGTACCTATTTTTGACCCATTTGAACCAAAGACTAAAACCTGCGTCACCCTAGCTCTTGAATTTGAGCCACACCCATAAGGGGTTATGTTTTTTAGAGGCACCTTTTTTGATTGGGTCCAAATGGAAGACAATAGGAAAACTGCCATTTTGGCAGTTCCCCCAGCTAAAGACACCATATATTTGCGGCCACGACCTCTTTTTTTTTTCCTTTTTTTTCTCTTTTTTTTCTCTGAACACGCATGTTCTAGGTGCCGGCATCCTGCAGCGCACCTCGCCACGCCGATTACACCATAGAACGCCTCACATTGACATGCCCCAAAATAATCAGAGCAAGGGAACACCCGTGTTACATGCTCGGCAAACTTTGCAAGACGGCCCGAAAACAGAGAAGAGTGCAACCGAACAAGTTTTGTTTTGCAGGGGTTTTTCGAAACTTGCTACTTTGCCTATGCAAACGCTAGCCGAGTTCAACATAACAACATTAGCGGCACCATGCTTGTCCAAAGAACAGCCCCCCCCATGAGCAATTGTTTCTAGTGGTTTTCATGGCCAAGTGGAGAGCTCAAGGACACAAACTTGGCCCATCTGATTTGGACAAGCCTCCGGTGCTCTCATGTTGGACAATCGCAGAGGCAGCAGCGAAGCCACAAAAGCACCGTGGCCACTTTGGAACAGCAGGCAGGGGAAGGCTCCGTGCGTATTGCGGACTGAAAGCATGTCTCAGGTTGAGGAGTATCGACGACAGACAAGGGAGCTGAGTCAGGAGCTGGCTAGGCCAGGGGAGTGCTTGCAGTGTCCAAAGGCTCCCAGGTTGACTAACCCCTGTGAAACCAGAGAGCTGCAAGGGCGCCTGCTTAGCATGTCTCAAGAAGCGTGCGGCAATCCGTGTCAGGCAAAAAGCTGAGGCCTTGCAGGCTCGCTGGGTCACAGCTTTGCTTCCTATGGTTTGGTGCAACCTGAGCAATGTTTGACGCTTTGATATGAGAACATTCCGTGAAATGCAGGTCAAGCAGGACCTGGCAGGCGCTGCCAAGCAGGAGGAGCCCAAAGTGCCCAGATTTCTGCAAGAGCCAGCTCTGTTTCACTTTTCAAATTTTCTCTTAGCCTAAACCAGGAGGAGCGCGAGAAGATCCTCAGCAGCCGAGACTCAGACTCAAGTGTGATTCAGGCCAACACAAGGGCCGAGATGCTAGCTGCATGTCCGAGGCGTTGGAGGTATTCACGATTTGCAATGTGGAGTGTGTTGCTTTGCGCTGCCCAAGGGAAGAGGTCGTATGCTGACACATCTCGCTTTGTGCATAGAAATTGCATTGCAAGCCGCGCAAGCTTCAACTCAGGTGAGAAGGAGTTAAAGAAGCGCGCCGCAGAGCTAACATGGCGTGCAGCTGAGTTGCCGAGCACGCTTGGCAGATTCTGAACTGGGTACGGAGTGCCAAAGCCACAGTTTGGGTTGGTGAACGCCAGTGAACGCATTCGCCTCCAACCTTACTTTGCCGATGGTGGTCTGCACTTTCAGTGAAGCCGTTGGCTTTGTGTGCGGATCTTAGGCGGCTGGAAGCTGCGAACAAGGAGGTGGAAGCATGCAACGGCCTCAAGGGAGGCAACTTTGATTTATCCAGGCCGGCCTTATCAAACCCTGGCCTGCACACTCAAGGGAGTTGCTGCCTGACAGCCCAGGCCGAGCCAGCCTAACATCTGAGCGAGAGCGCTGTAAGGACAGACGTACACATTCACGCTTCACACCATGAATTTCACGGCATGGCACGTACGCCTGCAACAAAATGCGCTCAGAAGCTCCATCCCCCGCAAGAGTTTCGCATTTTGCCGTTCTAAATGGGGACTGGACGTTGCACTCGGTGTCCTTTAGAGCCCTAGTTATCTTCCGTATCAACCGTCCAGTCAGCTCATTTGAAGCCTCTCCTTGCATCTTCTTGCCTTTTGAGGAGCTGCAGAAGCTCAGCCATCAGGAGGCCGAGGTCGGGCCCAGCACGGAGTGCATTCCGTTGGAGAGGACATGAGGTCAGCGAAGTGCAACAAACGTTCGTTCAAGACACCTTGTATTTGCAAAAGCAAAATCAGTTGCCAGGAGGCCAATACTCTCAGATGAAGCAACACCATACCAATGTTCACGGCATGCCATGGCGTGCAAGGAAGCTAAGTCACGGAAAGGTGCAGAGATGTTATTATTCGTGAGGGTGTGACGGATCAGCCGGAAGCTTGAAGCTGACAGAACAAGACCAAACCACCATGCACCTCGGAATACAATCGTGGAGGGTAAGCCCCGGGTGCGTGCTGGAAAAGAATGGACAATGCGCAAAGCTGACTCCGCTGCATGTCGCAACAGATATATATATATATATATATATATATAGATAATATAATGTAATGTAATATAATATAATATAATATATAATATAATATAATATAATAGAATACAACACAATACAATATAATATAATATAGCATATATATATATATATATCCTCAACAAGACAACAATCGAAGCAGTAGGGAACCAAGAGCGCCAAGAAGGCACGATGACATGCCTGTCCTGCGTAAGTACATATTACGTGAAGGCCAGAGCAACGTTTTGCTGCCTGATAAATCCTAAAGTCGACGGTCCGGCAAATGTGGGCGAGAGAGTTGTGGGGAGCACGTGGAGAACCGAAAGACTGCCTAACATGGAGAAAGCACGTCCAGCCAGTCAATTATGTCGCTCGTTGCCACCGCTACCCCAGGGCACAGTGAACAATATCGGTCCTTTTTAGCAACGCTTAAATGTTTACAGCACCTTTCCCAGCATGGGCAGTTGCGATTCGAGCGCCAAGCAAGCGCACGCGCTTCGTGTTCCAATGCGTGAGGCCCACAGCCACTTGCAGCATCAAGGCCTTATCAGTCTTTCTGAGTTGCCAGGGCCTTGGTGCTGACTGGGAAAAGAGGGAACGAGAAGAGCCAGGTGGATCAGTTCTGCGAAGTGACCCAGAGGAGCAAGTGGGTGTGTCTTTTTGTTAAGATTTGGACCTCGAAAGATTGTTTCCCCTTAGCTTCCCCTTTTAAAGCACCAAACAAGGGGTTACCCTCAAAGGGAGACACCAAGTTTCTACAGCCCAGTACGTACTCTTGTTCGGTTTCCTTGGCCTTTATCTCCGTGCTCTTTCACTTACTCATCTTTGTCTTTTACCTTTGCGCCGTTGCCGACGTTCCTCACCTCTATGTCTCGCCTCTCATCTCCTTTTCTCGCCTTTTGCTCCCCTTACATTGGGTTTTCCAGGACGGTTTTGCCTACAAGCCTGCTTGCTCCACGCCGGCCGAGGCTGTCCCAAGCACAGGCGCACGCGCGCCTGCTGGCGCAGGCGTCAGTGCTAAATTCGGGAAGCCCTAAACATTGTTGCGTTTTGTTTTTCCTTCAACCACCAGCGCAAAGGCGTTCAGAATTTGAGACCCCCCCCCACCTCAAGATTGTGCAGTTCATGAAAGGGCAGGATTGCCAGGTTTGCCTCACATCCACATTTTTTGCACAATGCACGTCAGATCCGTCGGGTGGTCACCGTCTCTCAACGCTTTTACCAGGTAGCCTTACCAGGGTAAGAGTTCCAGGAGACCCATGTAAGAGACGCAGAGGGGGAACCTCCGTTGGAAATAGGCCTTATCTCCTGATCGAGCTGAGAGTGGGTGCATCAGTATGTTCAGGTTGTCAGGTATTCAGCAATCGCGATTTGGACACAGACTGTGCTGAGCGGCAGGTGAAGGCAGAACTCGGTGGCATAAGCAAGATAGAATTTGCTGCCGAGGAGTGATGGAGTGCCCACAGAGAATGGAGTGCCTGCAGATAGTTAGATCTTGCCAGCCCAACAAAACTTGGCGCTCTGAAGCATGAGAGCTTTACATTCATGGAGCACGTTGCAGGACACTGGTGAGCTCAAGCAGAAATACGAGCAGAAAATTGCCAAACTGCAGGGCTGCCCAGCGACCAGCGAGCTGTGGAAGCTGAGCCAAGGGCTGATACTGTGGTAGAGCCAAGGGAAGACACGAGACTTTATGACCCCTTACGGGTCCTTCGCCTGTAAAGGTCGCTCGCATTTGCCTCCAGGTATCAGCACCTTTCTGAGCGCGAAGCGTACGAGAGGCACGATCTTCCTTCCCGTCGGCCACGGAGGGCTCAGAGTGACTGGAACAACTCGCGCGTGGAGGGTTTCTGGCCAGGAAGCTCAAAGGTTTCATCGAGAATGAAGTGCATGTGCTACACCAGTACAACAAGGACTCTTGGGATTTGCAAGAACAGTCTAAATACACCAGAGTGGACATGAGCCGAATACATCGCATTGGTTTGCTCGATGGCTCTTTTGTACTTTGAGGGTACCCCCATGGTTGAACGGGTTACGGAAAATCACCCTGTCTGGCCCCCAATGTTGACTCATATCCAGGAGCTGGAGCACTACTGCCAGTGGCGCCGCGGAGCTGTTCCTGATCCTCCCACGCTACTCAGCTTGAGAAAGGCTCGCTGGGCCCATCGGCTATAACCAAAAAGCATAGGCAGCCGGGCTAAAGTTTTGGGAACTATGTCATTTGTAGTGCTAAGCCGGCGCTCTCTGCCCGGCTGAGGTTGCTCAAGCCTCCGATTCCTGCACCAGACAAGGCTGGTGCTTGCAGCAACTCTTGGTTATATGCTGACAATTTGCAGAGCCCTCAACCCATTTGAATTGGGGCGTTGTCTGGCTGGCTTGCAGACGGTTTGATGCAGACGCACCCTGCGGAGTTCAGCATGTCGTGTCAGGGCTTGGTGTTCATGAGTGTTTCCGGAGCAAGTCACACTGCGTGCATTGCTGACGTTTTCGTGCCATGTCCGTAGGTCGGAAGGCGATTGATGCGGAACTTGCAGAACCTTGAGGATCGGTTGATGGCGTGAGAGGGAGCGACCGCTGATGTCCAAGCTATTTGCAAGCCCAAGGCTCTAAAATGAGGCGACACTTTGCAGTATGAGCACCAGCGTTCAGCAGCTTCAGTCTCACTGTTGTTTTTTGACAAATTTGCACCAGGTGCAGCGTCTGTCATGCACTAAAATTGGCGCTTGCTGCCGACTACGACTGCTGCACAGAAGCATCGCCCACATGAAATGCTGAGAGGTGTTAGAGTAAGATGCTGTTCAATCGACTTTGAATGACTGAGACGATGCAATGGTTGCCAAAGAAGCAGTTCCTGTCGGAGATTACAGCCTAGCCGTGAAAAAAATGCTCCACGTGCTGATACGAGGCAAAGGTGAGCGTTTTCCTCCAACGCGCGGCAAGCCTACGACCGATGTGTGCCGGGCTGCGCAGTTGTACGGCGGTGGCTGCCGCCGCGCCATCTTAGAATCGCCCAGAATGAGCATCATGCGCAGAATAACACACAGTTTTCGCAAGATCTGCGCAGGTTTTGTTTTTAGCTACACTCCATTGCCAGGAGGACACCTCCCGGCAATGCATTAATATGCATCGCTCAGTTTTTAATACAACCAAACATCCATTTGCAGCTCCAGACTTCACCTTCGCCGTAGCTACCCATTCGCAGCGGGGACGGAGTTTCTTGCTTTCAGAGCCGTGAGCTGCATTGGTGCAAGGAAGCCTTGCTCCCGCAGAAACATATGGGCAGCTGGCTAACCTATGCTTTCCAGTGGCACCGTGTCATGTTCAGCGCAAGTGGTAGCAGCCGCGTCCCCCAGGGCATTTGAACCACGCTTTGCTCGAATCACCGCTGCCATTTGCCAGCATGAACTTGTCAGTCAAGGCCGCACCTCGGCAAAGCAAGTGCTCACGATGACACTGTGCAAACATGAAAGAACATCGCAAATCGCTGAATCAGTCTGCGCTGTGGCTGGCCAAGGTTGCCTTTGCCGCCTGGCCAAGGGACCAATACGTTTAACTCTGAGTGCCAACTGTGTGCATCGTGTTTGCCCTCACCCCGCTCCTGCGCGAGCGTGTCGAGTAGGATAGCACGCAGGGGAAGAAGGAACAACCAGGCAGACCATACAGACCCACCTTCGTCTTCCTTTTGTGCCCTGTCCAAAGAGCAAGAATGCAGACGTAGACACCATATTCACCAATGGCTTTCTGATCAATGACCATACCACAAAACGAATGACAGCGCTGGCAGAAAATACGGGCGTATTTCAATTATGACCGGGCGGTCTTTTTTGAGCTGCATGTAGCGGGGAAGGGCGGGGGGGACCAACCCCCCTCAGCCAAACAAACAAACCCAAACAAAACAACCCCACATGCAAATTCACAAACAACAGAGACACAAAAGCAACACCCAAAACACACACACACACACAACTGATAGATAATCTGCGTTGGAGCTGGACGAATTCGCGGCAAATCGTTGGAGCGTTTCTGACTGCGTATCCCGCAGCATTCTTGACCGCTGCGGGAGGTTGTGCCCTCCGTCTTGCCTTTGTGTGCAGCTTTTACAGTCGCGAGTCCCACTATGGTCCACGGCCTGCTGCAGCGCAGGCAAAAGCTGCGGGCCAGCGCTGCTGCCAACCTTGGGCCTGCGCACAGCAGGGAGACCCCGCAAGCTGCGACTGCGCGTGACGTCCCTCACAAGCCCCAAGGCCCCGTCGCGCCCCCCAATCTCAACCAAGCTCCGGGAGCCGCTACGGCCCCTGGGCAGGTACGTCGTTCGCTTCCTTCGCTCAGCCGTGCACAAAGCCGCTCCGGTCCTCCTACGCCGGGGCTGAGGAGCCCCCGAGAGAGTTGATGGCGACACAAACGTGGCGTCGCAGCTTGCCCCCACGGGCAAACGTTTGGGGATGCCAATCCTTAAGGTCCAAGCGACGCCTATCCGCATGTCAACGCCAGCTGCTGTGGCGCTGGCGACTCATTACCACCTGGGCCCGCCGCTTTGCGCAGCCCCGGTTTTGACTATGGAACCTCTTGCGCCCGGAAACGAGGAAACGCTCCGTGCGCTCCAGGACCCTGCCCGCAAGCCCACTCGCGCGCCTCCTAGACCATGTCCTCCGCCTGCAACCTCCGTTCGATTTCGGGCTGCAGTATGGAGCATTTGCGGTTACTCTTGGACACAGAGGGGGATGCGCAGCTCTCGACCCCCTGGCGCAACGGGTTGTCGTGGAGCCGCGTTTGGCCCGTTGAGCGAGCGGCCGCTCGGCTGCCGTGAGGCGGGCGCTCGAGTCACAGTCAACACCCGCCTTGCGGACACGACCTGGAACACCGCTTTGGCCCCACCCCCTTTCCTTATCTGTTGCCCGGCACCGGAAGGAGCGCGCCAGTGGGGCCCCGAAATCTTCAGCGTGCTCCACAACCTCGCTTGCGCGCGTGCACCTGCCCGTGCCCGACTTGCAGGCGGCGTGGCTGATGCTCCTCCTGTGCCCGCGGTGCGGCTGCGCCTGTCGCGAGGATTGCCGTTTTGGACGCGTTCAAGCTGAGGCGGACATCAGCAAGTTGTTGTTTTTGTCCGCAATCTCTTTTTTTTTTCTCGGGGGCAGGCTTAGAATTTCGGGGCGCCAGAGGACTTTGCAAGAGGCTTGCAGCCTGCCAGCAGGTCAAGAAAAGGACCACTACCCATCCACCAAAGATTTTCATTCTTTGAGCGAGTTTTGAGCGTCCCAGCTGCGCACCAGCGGTGACGGGCTTCTTGCCGACGCAGGCAGGGGGGCCCTCACTGTTAGCATCACAGCCCGGCGATCATTCCCGCGCATTTTTTTCGGATGTGGTCACGAGCAACACACAGCAACTAACCTTGTTCTTGCTATTTTGCGACCTATCGGACCCCCTTCACACGAGTTTGCCAAGCACGTCAAAGATGGCATATACCGCCTTCGAGCAAAACAGTGACTACAACGCAAGTGACTCTCATGATGACCGCTCAACGACTCTTGTGTGATGTCTCTTATGCAATGGCTGTCATGACGACTCTGTGCAATGACACCTGGTGCGATGACTTTACGCAATGTTGTTTTCCTCTCCCGCGCGCCTTTTCCGCAGGTGCTCGTGTGGTCATATGGGTGATGCCTTGGGGGACCAAAGGTCCGCTTGCCCTCGGGCGGGTGTTTTGCGCGGGCGCGGTGTCCCACTTGAACGGCAGCCGCCACAGTGCGCCGGGGGGCTGGTGCCACCGTCAGCATGCACACGTTGGTCAGGGACCTGAAGATCGTTAGTGTGCCCGGCGACGACCGCCGCGTTGAAGTCATTGCCAATGGCCTGCCCATGTGGAGCGGCGCTCAGCTTGCCATCGACACTACCCTTGTGTCGGCCTTGACGTCCGCAGCCGGCCCCCGACGCCACCAAGGTAGGGCGGTGGGGTCCGCGCTGCGCCTCGCTCGGAGGACCAAGGAGCGCACGTATCCCGAGCTGATGGCAAAGGCTCGGGCCAGGGCCGCGCTGGCGCGCCTCCGTAACTCTTGTGCTGCAGGCCTCGCCTAACAGTGGTGCTCGCTTTTGGCCTGCCGCATCGCGACATGGTCGTACGCGCCGGCCCCATCCACCGACAAGACGGTCATGGCGGGCGTGGTTTGCGTGAGGTACCGGAGGGTGTGCGCCGGTGTGCGCCAGCGCCTCGGACCCGCACCGGGTCGAGAGTGCATATTGGTACGGCTGGCACGCCGTATCAAAGCGCTGCCGGCGAAGTGCTGGGCCAAGGTACGCAACACCAGCCTACGCAAGACATCACCTACCACGAGGCCACGCAACCCTCCCGAGGGCTTCCGCGCTGCCACCACCCGGCCGAGCCCAATCCAGGGAACGACTACGTCCGTGATTTCGGCACGGGCCAAGCGCGCCCCCACTCGCGACAATGGGGGCGGAAGCCTCCTCATCACCGAGGACAAGTTGAAGCATCTCTCCGGTAAGGCCGCTCGTCCCCGGCGCCGCTCCTCGACGTGATCGCCGGAGATTTGCAAGGAAACCTTCGGGCATCTTCGGGCAATAGCTCCACGGCACGATCAGGCGCCCAATCACTGAGGCCCAAGGAAATGTCTGGCACTGCTGGTTCGAGCAACTAGTCGGCAAAGGATCAGCCAGCGCCTGGCGTGCTGCTGAATGTTCACCCAAGCATGCCAAACGGACAGATCCGTCGTGCAGCGGTTGCTGCTGTTGCGGCTGTGGCTGCTGCCGCTGGTCCGCCGGAAGCTGTGCAGGCGCAGCGCACGGGTTTGCATTTGGAAGGAGCTCGGGCTGGCAGGGCAGCAGGAATGGGTGTGGGCCTCGGCTGCAAACCCATCCGCGCTGAGCGGACGTCATGGCAATGGCGAGGGCTCTTCGGCCATACTCTGCACTCGGTTGGTTCTGGGATGCCAGGCAAACAAAGCGTTGTCCTCCGCGAGAGTGGCATTGCAACGGATACAAATCGGGGCGCCACCGATCCCTAACGGGGTTGCGAATCGGCATGTGCCGCGAAGGCAATTCCACCCATGCATGGCCCGACTCCGGGAAAAAGGCATCAACTAGGGCAAGATGGCGGCAGCAAAACGCGTACGGCGCTTTTGGGGGGAAGCCCCTCAGCGGAGGACACGGCACGGGTATCATAGGCTAGTGCTGCTTCTGGTATGGAGACCCCATTTTGGATGCAAGCATTTACAAAGTGTTCCTCTGCAAATCCCGACCAACCGGATCGGCAGCACGGGCATCGCAAGTTGTGCACATTCACACGCATATGCGCAGCGCAACCTGGGTGCAAGGCGTGCCCGCAGGATGGCCATGCGTAACTTGCCCTTTTTCCCGACACTAGTTCGCAGCATTGCCAGCCCCGGCTGCAGCTTCTTGCGGGGCGCTGTCTGCCCGCAAGAGCCACTCTGGCGTGACTGGCGCCGGCGCCCCGGGGGTCGGGGCAGGGGAAGATGCAACTGAGAGCCAAGGGACAGTTCCCGATTCGCATCCCCTTGGTCCATTGCCAAGCTGCTGGAGCCCCTGGGCTGACCGATTCTTTATACTGGGCCGGTCCCCCAGCTATGTGTTTCCACGCGTGATGTTTTTTTTTTTTTTTTTTTTTCTTCTTCGGGTCTGGCCCGGCCTCCGGGCCAGGTCTTACTCAGTTGCTGTTTTTTTCACCCAGATCCCCGGCCCAAAACGCCATCGCCAAGGACGGCGGGGACAAGGGTAAGATGGAGGAGGGAGGCTGAAGATGACTG